ACCGGGGGGCGGGGGGGGGGGGGGGGCGGGGCGGGTGCGCCCAGCTGAGTACGCCCTTAGACCGGCGACCCGTTTGGGCTGATGCTGTCTTCATTTTTATCATCACCACCATCGGAACCCGAGGACCGTTGACATCCACACATTTGACCCAGAGAAACAGCCCAGACCGGCAAGACGGCAGTCGAGTCGAGTCGCCGTGTTTGAGAAGGCGCCTGAGGGAGCCTGTTTCGTGCAACCAGTGAAGAGGCCCCCGCCTGGGGGGGGGAGGGAACTGAGGGGGCTTTAGGCACATGCCCCGCAAAAGTGCCGTCCATGTTAGCAGCACGACCTACCTCTCTACGGATACCTATCTGTACCTAGGCACCACGACCCAGGTGAGGTATGGATACCTAAGGAGGTAAATGTACGGATAGGTATTCGTATGGTTGGTTGGCTCGCCTGGGCCCAGGGTGGCTTGGCTCTTGGCCGTGGAGAAGAAGAGACACAGATCCTGTCACTTCTGACTGTGCCAAGCGGCTCGTCAGCTTCACTTGCCTCAATCTGCGACCGATCCCAATTCTCAGTCTCATCAGTCGTCCGGAAGAGCGACCGAGTCTTCGTCTGAAGACATTAGGACACTATGTATGTACAGTGAAATATGTGCATATTTCACGTTGCATAACAGAGCATCCCTCGTGCGCCTGCCATCGCAACAGACAGCACCCACACTCACTCTCGGATACGTGCCCACACCGAACGTCTGTAAACCTTCCTATGCTGCATTCCTTCCGACTTCAAGTCATCTCATGTTACAGTAGTTCTTCTTGGCATTGACGTCAGCAATGTACATGCTTTTGTACGGATACTGGTAATTAAACGGAGAGCTGTTGCAACAACAAGCAAGCCCGGCACTATACATACGATGCCACGGCTGTCTCGGACTCTGCAACGACTCACCGTACGAGGCGCAATCGCCTGCTCGCACACTACGCCCTTCGAGGTATGATGGACGTGGGCGCAGTCATGGTGGTGACGAAGAATTAGCCAGACTACTACATCTAGCGCCCTTATCTGCTGCTGCTTCTCCTTTCCCTCGGCCTCCTTCCAATGCTACAGGTACGTGTCTATCACCAAGTCATCCCCTTTCCATCGGCTTGGCATTCATGTCATGCGTCAGACGACATCTCCACGCTGTTTTCCCCATCATTCATTATCCGTCCCCTTTCGTTGATGACTGAAGAGCCGAACCCCCAATCATCCTTTACACAACCGCAAATGGCCATTCAGACCCTGGCAAGTAAGTCCGTCCAATCATACGCCACTGGGAGGTGAAATTGATTTTATTCAAGGAGACTAAAAAAAAATAAAAAATAAAAAAAGGGATGAATTTTTCAGTCGAGAAGCGGTTCCTTGTGAGGTCCTTGTTTGAGACCACCCGCCACGAGCGGTAGGTGGCAAAGAATTCTCCGATTCGCCATAGCTCCGTACATACCCAACTGCGAGGGGGCCGCTCCGGCGACTTCACGGCCGCAGAACATTGGGCTTTTCGACTTAACGATACCTACCTTACTCCCGGGGCAAGACGCGGACCCGGCGCGCTTGGCCCCGCCCGGTGTGCGGACAACAGCCCAGCACGCTCTTCCGCTCCGCTATCCATTACGAATGAATCTCCCTGACGACCATTTTCATGACCCGCTGAGTTGGCAACTTGTAGCCCTGTTTACGTCGGGCTTGGGAACATTGTATTATTCATGTCCCGAACCTCGTCTTTGTGCCGTAAAGCCGAATTGGCCACCTGACAATTCCTCTGCCTGATTGTTGCAGAAGCCACCGTCAGCCCAGACAAAGCACAAAGTTCCCACAGCGCCGTTGATCCTCATCCGTGATTTTTTACCGCTCAACCGGTCGCCCAACTAACATCATATCGTCTCACGTCTGCAATATGCTTGCTCATCGGTTTAGGACTCGGCGTTCTGAACAGCCAACCATGTTCTCGCCTTCCGGCCTTGGAGATGTTTTCTGGTACGACTTGGTATTCTTTGCTGTGGTCATGATCCAAACGCGATTTTGCCCGGATAGTCCAAAGTCTCGATGCAGCCGAGGCGTACAGAAGAAAACACAGCGAAAGAAGAAAAAGGCATAGTAGCATTGGTCATGCATGGCTTGGACCTGTGCACACGGTCCTCCGAGGGAGCATCCGCTAGCCGTCTCCATACCCACTCAGTTCCCGCCCATCCATCCTGATTCTCCCTTTAGCCCCAACCTCTGGCGACGGCGCCAGCGGTCTTTGCGGAATTGGAGCCCTTCAAAACTCTGGGAACGCCTCAGCCGTATACGATGTGGTAGTCGTGCTAAGCTTGATTCTAAGCTTGACCTAGCATCTAACTGATTCTCAAACATTGACCCCCTTTGCGCCGCCATGACCAAAATACCACCTCATCCTCTTCCTTCTCAAAGCTTCTTCCGGCTCATCGGCCTGTCGATCTACATTTCCTTATTCTTTGGGCGTTTTTCTCAACCCATATAAGCCGGCGAAGCCGCCGCGTTTCTTGGCTGATTTTGACAAGTATCCCAGATTGCAGCTTTCACTCGCTATATCATCAGCCTTGACATTCGTTCTGTTTCTTGGCTATCATTACCGCTCTTTCTAGCAAAGGATGACGTCCACACTCGAGTTCCTCGTGCTTGCTCTGGCACTGCCGTTAGGGATTGTCGCCTCGCCATCTTTCCTTCTCTCTAGAGCCGTGTCCCCAGACAACACATGCGGAACAACTGGCAATGGAGGCAACCCGTCCGCATTCTCTTGTCCAACGGACCTTCCATGCTGCTCCGTGAATGGATGGTGTGGTAGCACCGACGACTACTGCCTGACTTCCAACGGCTGCCAGGGCCAGTTCGGCACTTGCACGCAGGACGGCAGCCCACCGGCCGGCGGAGACGGCGGTGATGGGTCTGCGGGCAACACGCAATGTGGTCCCGACAACGGAAACGCAAGTTGCGCATCAAACGAATGCTGCTCCGCTGCTGGGTTAGTGATGACTACATCCTTGGGGCTTCTTATGGCTAACCTTGCTGCTAGATACTGTGGAACGGGCCCGGGTGAGAACAACACCGATGTTAAATGGAAATGACACCTAACTTAACAATGTTTCAAGACTACTGCAGAGCCCCGGACTGCCTATTCCAGTTTGGGCCGGCATGCGATGCTAACCAAGTCCCTTCTGGTCAAAACACCTCCAGCATCGCCCGTCCCCAGCTTGGTCAAGTCGCGTATGGGGGTCCTGGGGTTTACAGCTGTGTGAACCCAGGAGATGTTGCTCTGACTTTCGACGATGGTCCGGACAAGTACACCTCTGATCTTCTGGATCTCCTCAAACGGTACAATGCTTCGGCGACCTTCATGGTCACAGGTAACAACAACGCCAAGGGCAAGATCGATAATATGACCCTGCCTTGGGCGAACATCATCAAGTAGGCAGACAATTCGGTATCCCTCTCGTTGTTAGCTCATTACTCATCTAGTATAATAGGAGAATGTACAGCGAGGGTCATCAGATTGCCAGTCATACATGGTCTCATGCTGATTTGGTAACTGCTCTACCTATACCCTCCCCGCCCAATTGTCATACTGACAAGACTTCTTTTGGTAGTGCAACATCACTTCGGCGCAGCGCAAGGATGAGATGTACAAGCTGGAAATGGTTTGTTCTACGTCATATGAGGATGAATTCGTAAGCTGACCGTATTTGCCGCAGGCTCTGCGTAACATCATTGGTGTCTTCCCTACCTACATGAGGTAAGTTGCTGGTGTTTTGCGATTGTGGATGATTTCCCTGACCTCGTCTTCTCCCAGGCCTCCTTTCTCCTCATGCAATGCCGAGTGCGGCTGCGAGGATGATATGGCTGCACTGGGCTACTCTGTCATCTATTTCGACCTGGACACCCAAGACTACCTTCACGATAGCCCAACAGAGATTGCCCAGTCCAAGACAATCGTCGACCAGGCCATAGCCGCCAAGCCCGCTCCCAGCGACAACTTTCTCGTCATTGGCCATGACATCCATCAGCAGACGGTGTACAACCTTACAGAGTATATGCTTCAGAAGTTCCAGGGTAAGCAAATGGTTACCCTTGGCGACTGTCTCGGAGATCCTAAGACAAACTGGTACCGCGCCGATACCCGCACCACTCTCGGCGCTTGAGGAAGGATTAATGATGCCTCATGGATGTGGTTCGTTGTTAAACCACCGATGTTGAGTAGTGTAACGTAGTGTAAACTAATGGTAATCGATATACAACGGTTCGAGAATTCGTTGGTTATCCGTATGCGGGTGCATGCCACTCGCACGTCGCGATAGAAACACTCACAGCAGTTCCACTCCAACAACTAGACGACCTGCAGGCTCGAAGTACCTTGTGCCGAGACGTTTACCCATCTACCCACAAGAATATTTCCAGGTTGTCGGAATTGCTGTGTCATGTGCGTTGAAGCGTTGCGTGGTTCCCGGGAGGGGTCCAGAGTCAAAACAACGTCGCGCATAACATATACACAGAGCATTTGCGCACAAACATCGTTCAAGGCGAGGATCACGTTTGAGCATGGATCGTTGCGAGGCTCGACGATTAGCGGATTCTCCCGTTGACGGAGTCGATCGCCTTCGCATCTTCAAGGCCCGCTTGTCTTGAACCAAGAAAAAAAAACGCGATGCATTTAGTGACCCTTCCCTGAACCAAGCATTCTCCGAACAGATGTATGTACAATTTTTGCACGATAGCCCTCGCTCATCCCCCAGCTTCCATTTACGACCCATTGCGATTGGGGCCCTTCCCTCCAGGGCCATCTTCCATAACACCTCCGAACTTGAGATGCGATGAAGCGAGACGCCCTGCCGACAGGCTGGCTTCGCCTGAAAACGCAACACCAAAGAATCCCATGCCTTACCAGCCCACTGGAAAGACAAGGGTCAACGAACTCCAGCCAAACCGTCCGCTTCGTGATATCCTTGACCTCTGACTCCATGCGCCATTCGTGAGACAAGAGCACGAAGACCCCAATGCACTGGAAAATGTATAACCGACAATAAATAGCAGCACAAAACAGCTGCTAGTATCTGACAATGAGTCTGAACAATGTGACCCAGACAAAACAAGTAATAAAGACCAATCATCCGCCCCAGAAGCCCGCGCGCGTATTGTTGCTATAGGTTTGTTGAGTTTGGAGGAGCGCGACGAGAGGACGACGTGGATTGATGCACTACCAAAGTGCTGGTCGTCGATCTATGCATTCGTAACAGTGGCCGTAAACGCTGATGCTCATCCAACTGCCCTGGTCCAGGGTATCCTGTGAAATCAGAACCTGTTCCGAGGCTCGAAAATCGCGCATGTCGCTAGTAGTCATCATCATCCTCGGGGTAGTCACCATCCCGGGCGGAAATTTGGTCCAGAGAGAGATGGGTGTCGACGATACCAAAGTGCGGGGCACTCTTCTTGGCCCATTGACGCGTAAGGATCGAGGCTACTCCACGTTAGTTTGCGAACCAGACAAAGCAGGTGCGGCGCAATTACCCTTGAGAAACTTCTTGCTGGCATACTTCTTGAAGAAGGCTTCGTGAACGACAGGACGCGCAAGGTAGTCGACCATGAGGCGAACTACCGGCTCAATCTCCTCCTCGTTGTACCCAGCATAGAATGCGATGGTGTCGTCCTGGGAAAGGGTAAGTACAAAAAGAAAAAACCCTAGTGAGGAATTGTAGTGTTGCCTGAACATACCCAGTCACCACGGTCAAGAATCAGGCGGGCCAGGTACATAGCACCGGCCGCAACGTGACTCGGACGATAAGCCATAAAACGGTGATCAAGAAGGCTGATCTCCATGAGATACTTGCCAATAGTACGGCACTGGATGTCGTAGTTGTCTGCCTTGCTGATGCGACGCAGGAAGTTCATGGGGTTGGGGTAGCTCAGGTCATAGTTTAAAGTGCCGAGAACAAAACGCTCAGCACTGAGAATCTCGGCCTCACTGAATCCGTCATCCGCGACGTGGCGGAAGTTGGCGACGTGAGGTGACAGAACCTCCTCGTACTTTGAGGCAATGAACATGGCGGTGATGCCGACAAGCTGCAGGCGGTCCAGCTGTACAACCTTCTCAGAGAGGAAACGGTCGATGATGTTGATGGCAAGGAACAGAGTCTCGGGGAGCAGGTGGAAACGAGTGTGAACCTCAATCAACCAGTCGACGAGAATCCCGCGTGTCTTCCACTCCAAATCGTCTTGATGCTCCATGTAGTTCGGGTTGGGAATGGAATTGCACTCCAGATCACGGAGATACTCGAAAATTTCGTTGGCATATTCGGCAACCATCAGAGGGTCGTCCAGATCCTCCTCGTCCAGATTCTTTACTCCCTCGGGATACTCGACCAGGTCGACCTGGGCGTCTCTCGTGGTGTTGGATGACTCTGGCTCTTGAGCAGAACGTTTGACGGGAGCAGCCTCAGGTTCGGGTTTGGGTCTCGACTTTTCGGACTGGGCAGTGTGGTGCTTCTTGCGGCGGGGCTCACCATCATCAACATTGGCATCCTTGGGAGCTGGCTGCGCCATCGCGTTGACTCGCCGCTTGACAACGCCTGATCCTGGGGCGCCACGCTTCGGCTCGGCCTTCTTGTTGGCCTCCTTGGGCTGCAGGGCAGCTCTGGTTGCGGTCGAACGAGACTGGTTCTTGGTGACACCGGTGGGCTGAGCAGCCTTCGACACGAGGCCCACCTTGCCGGTGGCCTTCTTTCTCTCAACCGCATCTGCGTTTTTGACGTTGCTCACATCGCCGAGAGCACTGCGCTTCCCTGCAGTGGCTGCAGTGTTTGTGGTGGCCGCGGACTTCTTCGTAGGCTTTCCGGCGACAGTAAGCTCATCAACACTCAACGCGGCCGCCTTGGCACGCGTCATTCGCATTGAGCCACTGTTCTCGTCATTCTCGTTTGACACGAGGCGTGTTGCACGCGTCGGACGGGGTTGCTAAAGGGGATGGTAAGCCAGATGGCGACGCAATGGGGCTGCCCAGAGTTGGAGTCTCGAAGACTACCAGAAGAAGGCGGCAGGTGCGGGTAGAACTCACGGCGGGAGGCATTTCGTCAACTGGTTGCTGAAAATGGTGGGTGATTTACGATGTAAGAGTCTGGGTCAATATGGTCAGCACCAGACGCGTCGATGAGGACTGAGCCGCCACTGAGGTAAGCCCCAAGGCAGAAAGACAGGATAATGAAATGATGAGCGCCACGAAGGGTTATGGGATAACTCTTGGAGGAGGAGGTGGAGGCAGTGGCCGGAGAGAGGAACGAGGGTCGAGACATGCGCACCTTGGGAATGATGATGACGGGCGACTCGAACGCGAGCAAAGGGTTTGCTCTGGGTCGACCAAACACGGATGGCTATGGGGGAAAATTAGTCGCGTCGACGAGGCCAATTGGCAGAGAATCGGCGACCAGAGGGATCGAGGGTAGGTATCGGTAGGGTATCTCGAAGTTGGGAGGTGAATTAAGAGATTGGACTTGGGGGAAAAGAGGTTGTTTATGTGGGAAGAGGTGGAAAGATGGATTGTGATGTGTGTTTTTGCTGAGGTAGTGGGAACAGAGGACGTGATGTGGTATGTAGTGGGTATTGAGAACGGGGTGCTGGGGGTACGTACCTTTGGATCGCGGCTCGCGGTGACCCTGGTCTGGGTTCTGGTCACCACAGTAGCGGAGGCGCGAACGACGGACAGGGAGTGGCTTCTCGACTCTCGGTTAAGGCAGTCGCGTCTTTGTCGTGACGGGTGCCGGATAACGGAGTGGAGGTTGTCGCAATTGCTGCTGTGAGTTGCTGGATGGACACTGGGGAATGAAGTCTCTTTGTGTGTTGCGGAGAGCGGTGCAAGATATGCTGCCCAGATGGAAGCTAGTAAGCAGCCTGAGTGAATCAGAATAGGTGGACGGTGTGAATTGGTGATGCGCGTGAGGCGGGTTGGAGGTGAGGAGAGTAGGCTGGACTGGTTCCTCGTTTGGTGGAAGGCAAAGGACAAACAGACGGCCAAAACGATGAGTGAGGACGCGTGTTGTATCTGATGAGAGAGCCTAGGGTGAGTTGAGGCGTTGGCTGTTGATGAGAGGAATGGTGATGATGATGATGGTGATGATGATGATGAGCAGGATGGTTTGGGGCAGCTGGTAACGGTGACTTGAACTTGAACTTTTGATATTGCGGTTTGGACCGAAGGTGAAAGCTTCGGGTCTGGTTTGGCACAGTCGAGATGAAGACGATCCTCGAAGTTCAAGGTATCTGTAAGGCAGTCGGGTCGGAGATAGTGATAGCGGTGGTCGAGGCTTATGAGGAACGTCTGGTCTGGGGAGGGAAGACCGCGGTGCTGTCTGCCAATGGAAACGAGCAGGAACCCGACGCGACTGACTGCCCCGTCTCTCTTCGGGGCTGCGCGCGAGGGCCAGGTGGGACGGGATGCAGCACAGGAGAGGAAAAAATAAAAGACACTACGCATGAGCACTGGGGCCGCACCCCGGTCACAATAGCAATCAACACTGACAACCGCAGAGCAACCACTGCCTTATTGGCTGTACGCTACCTAATGGCCGACCTTACCTACCTATGTACCTGAGGCACCTGCCTACCTGCACTATGTACATACACCATTAGATTACCTAGGTACCCTGCGTTGCAAGATAGTCACGCTTGACTGGCGACCCCGCTCCTCCACCACCGCGTCGTGTCGAGGCGTCCCGTCGCGCAGTCTGGTGGGCGGTCCAGTGTATGGTACCTTAGGTCACCTCAAGCTCTCCTGAATCCGCCAACGCCACGCTTAGTCAGTCTGCTGTGCCACGCCGGTCGGCCCCACCAGCACAACGTGGCTGAAGCTCATGCGGCACCGGCAGAATTTATCTCCAAATCTCGAAATCTGCACTGTAGCCCGGCGCCGTCTGCTCGGAGGAGACGAAGCCATTTTCCCGCCCACGCAAAGCGACGCTACGCAGAGAAGTCACCTTCGATATCTGCGAGGGGGTTCTGAGTTCTATCGGTCACTCACTTGGCGTCTCTGGACATTTTGTTCGCCATCCCAACCTACTCCTTGCCTGCGCTTTCTGCGACCATGTCGCGCTGACCGGCCTCTGAAATATCAACCAGAACTTGATCATTGAAGCGACGGCGATCACCAAACCTTGGAACCCGAATCCCCGACAATATGCCTGCGCCACGTATGATTCTGTCGGCACAGAGAGGCCACTTCGGTCTTCTGAGCTCGCCAGCCTTCCGTGCTCTGCTCGTAAGACAATATGCCACCGTCAAAAGGTCTGCAGAAACGCCTGCTTCCGAGAAACCTAGGCAGCCTGCGAGTACGTTCGCTGGTCCCACTGCGTCCGAGAAGTCGACCAACGATTCTGCTGTTATGCGCACCTACAAGCCACGAACCCCCGGTGTGCGACATTTGAAGCGCCCTATCAACGACCACTTGTGGAAGGGCCGCCCTTTCCTGCCCCTGACCTTTCCGAAGAAAGGACATGGAAAGGGAGGACGCAACTCTTCTGGGAAAATCACCGTTAGACATCGCGGAGGTGGCGCCAAGAGGAGGATACGCACTGTCGACTTCGAACGCCGGCAACCAGGCCCGCATCTCGTTGAACGCATTGAGCATGATCCTGGCCGCAGTGCTCATATTGCATTGCTAACAAACCAATCCACCGGCAGGAAGAGCTACATAGTAGCTTCTGAAGGCATGCGGGCCGGCGATGTTGTTCACAGTTACCGTGCTGGCATTCCCCAAGACCTTCTCGACGCCATGGGTGGTGTAGTTGATCCCGGTATTCTGGCCGCCAAGACTGCGTGGAGAGGCAATTGTTTACCCATGCATATGATACCGATTGGAACTGTCGTCTTCAACGTTGGCTCCAAAGCCAAAGGCGGGGCAGTCTTTTGCCGGAGCGCGGGCACATACGCGATTGTTGTGTCCAAGGAGGAGGAGACCAAGGACGACGGAACCAGGGTCATGACGGGCAAGTATGTCAACGTTCGCCTCCAAAGTGGTGAAATCCGCAGAGTCAGCAAGGATGCCTGCGCGACAATTGGAGTCGCCAGCAACCCGCATCACCAGTACCGACAACTGGGTAAGGCGGGAAGAAGTCGTTGGCTCAACATTCGCCCGACGGTCCGTGGTGTTGCTATGAACTCTGGTGAGTCGTGCTGTGGTTCTTGACGAAGCCATGCTGCTGGATTTGCTGACATACATGGCTTTGCAGTTGACCATCCTCATGGAGGTGGTCGTGGAAAGTCCAAAGGAAATCGCCACCCAACAAGTCCATGGGGCACTCTGGTGAGTAGTCTGTCGATCTTTGGCCGTCGACTTTACAGTTTGCTAAATAGTTTGGGACACAGGCCAAGGGAGGTTTCAAAACCCGTCGCAAGCACAACTTCAACAAATGGGTTGTCGAACCCAGAACCCGCAATATGGGCAAGAGGAGGGACAAGAGCTCGGCTTAATCTGGGAACATTCGTTGTCGGTCACAGCCTGTGAGGAACCACGAGCGCTGGTGTCTAGCATATTGAAGGTGAGCTTGATCTCTGTGTTGTAAATGTAAGCGATAGTATTTGTATCATAGAGCTGTTCGCGGTGGTGCCACTGCCTTGTACCACCACTTTATTCTAACGACTTTGTTCTCGGCCAGTTCCTTGGGTTATTGTAGCTGCTCATAATACAGCAAATGACCGGCATAGAATTTGCGGGCATTTAGGCGGACGTTTCGAGTCCGGTCTCTCCAGCATCGGGGTTGTTAGTCCGTTGCACCCCGCGGCCAGTATCGTCCTCTTTTTGGCCGACCTCAGCTCCTTCCGCCATGCGCCTCCGTTGTTTCCAACCTGCCAAGCCGCCTCCGTATTCCTCTTTGTACGCCTGTTTGGTAGCTTCGAGCTCTGCCTTGGCCTTCTTCGCTGCAGCTTGGAATTCTCTCTCCTCAATCTTCTTGTCTCGTTCTGCCTTGTTTCGCTCTTCCGTCATGGTAAACAGGCGGTTCCAAGTCGGAGGCGGCGATAGAGTGTTCCCGCCCACCAAAAGCCAGAACTTTCTTGGAACCAGATTTGGACCAACTGCATTATCCTGTGGCATTTTGTTCGGAGTCTCTCGAGCGAGGGTCTTGGGGATGTATTGGTTCTGGAAGATGTGATGTCGCATATAGCCTCATGGTAACAAATGGTCCACATTCAGGTTCTGGTCTTTTTGTGATTTAGCCCAACTTATGAGTCTGCGACACAACAGACACATGGCTAGCGGAGTGATTTGCAAACACGTCAGGGCCAGCACATCTGTACTCACTGGCTAGCATTCACCGATGGCGGAGAGCATTGAAATACGAATGATTGGCCGCTTTCATTTCAGACGAAAGTATCTCACGAAGGTCCCTTCGGCTGCGCCCTGTGCAGATCGCGCCCCTTTACAAGCCAAACCGTTGCTATGGTCGTCTCAACTGAGGATGATTCTCACAATTCTGCGCACCAATTCTGTAACTGGCCTCAATGGAGGAGAAAAAGAAAAGGAAAAAGGAAAAAAAAAAAAAAGGGGGGGGGCGGGACATGCCAACTCTGGACAACCCTTCTGCGATCAAACCTGAACTCCTTTTGCGCCTTTACCCAAGCCCACCACCTGGGTTCTCGTCTGGCCCAAGCCCAACCCGCAACATCGAGACTCGTGACAAGAAAAGTGCCGTTTCCCATTTGACTTCCACTCATAATATGGCGTTGCAATTGGCGTGACTTCCACCCACCCTAGAGAGAGCCCATACGCTCCTCCACGCTGCCCATGTACATGGCAGGGCGGGGTTCAAGAATACTGAGCTCGCTGCCAAAGCTCCTTCGTTCCTCTTCGAGATCGAGCATCGAGGGTTGACGGAAGATAATGCTGTTGATTGTGCTTACAGGAGACGATGATGTTGTGGCATACGAGCCTCGATCGCTGCTCGCACGAGATGAAGCGGAGGATGACCGGCGAAAGGAGGTTCGCAAAGATCTCGGAGAGAAGCGAGAGGTAATGGATTGGAGGCGAGAGGATTGCATGTTGAAGATTCTCTTATACAGCTCTTGGTATATTCTTTTCTGGGGTGGGGGGGAGCGTAGGTGGGCGGCGGAGCGTGTTGATGGTTCCGTACGGGACGTTGGACCGTTTTTTGATGAGACAACGAGCAAAACGCCCAGGTTACTTGCGTATGAGTATGCGATTTGAAGAAAAGGCGCAGCCTGTGACGGAAACGAGTAGTCGAGCGAGTGACGAGAATGTAGATCGGTTAGAGGCGGGACTGGTGACTCCAAGGAGACATGGAATGTTCAGGAGTCAACCACCGGAGGAGTGGAGGCCGACGGCGAGACTGAATCGAGTTGGGCAGGAATGACGGACCGATGACTAGAGAAGGGACAGAGGCGGATTGCCAGAGGTTATATCGAGACTGACTTCTAGGGCGAAGAATTAAAAACGCAGTATAGTGCAGTGACGGGCAAATGGCCCCTGGTTAGGAATCAATCGCAGACGAAGCGAAGTGGCAGAGGGAACGAAGGGAGCAGGGGTATGGAGGTGGGAGGTGGGAGGCCCTTAGTACGTTGTGAGGCACTACGTGGAGAAGCGGGTTCGTCAGGGGGTTGACGCAGGCGGGATCAATGCGAGTGAGAGCCTCTGGACTCTGCCTCTTTGGGCAATTGCATTGCAGCTTGCGGGGATCTTTGGGGCGATGGTCTGACAGGGACACCGATACCTCGAGGCAGATGGCAACCTGGGAAGGGCGGATGGCGTGTTGTTCAGACGACGCAGAAAGGCAGGAGACGTTGGAAATCGGGGATGGAGAAGAGGGTTAGCTGCGAGTGACGGTAGCGCCTAGTACTGCTTAGTACAAGGAGCAGAATAGACTCTGGAAATCTTGTAGAAGCCCAACGAAAGGTGAGATGATGTGCATACTTAGTACATTGGCTATGCCGTCAACACACACCACCTTGCCTTGCTCGATGGGCTCGACAGATCGGACACGATACGGACAGGAACCTCAGTTGACCATCAGCCTTGTGATTGCCAAGGTCGGCAGAAATAGGCCTCCTGGGCACTCCAGAGGTCCAGCCCTTTGCCTGACCGCATCTCAACTTTTTGCCACATCCCCCCTTTTCTTGCCGCGATGATGACGATGGCAGAGCTATTTTCCCGAGTAAACATCGGACACGCAGCGCCGTGCGTCAGCTGCACCCAGAACGATGCACAGCAGAAGCCGCCTGGATTCGTTCATTGCCAGGCAGCACGTTCATCTAGACCATCTACAGTAGGTATGTACCTGTTCCGTCTCCTCGCACTGCAACAGAACTAACTACCTAGAGGAAGATGAATGCCTAGGGGGTCGGTGCAGAGCAGAGCAGAGGAGAGGCGAGGAGAGGAGAGCAGTCTGAATTCTGTAGCAGGCTGCATTGTGTGATCGTCGTTGGGGTTGCACTCGCACCAGGACAGGGGCTCCAAAACACGCTTTCCAGGGTACTCTGTGTCGGATCGCGGGCTAGGGCGGCGCTGGAGGCAGCTACGGATCCCACGAAATCTCGTCTTGGTTCCTCTTGCAGCCAGCAGCACAGAGGTTTTACCCACTGCCACTGACGACGTGACAGCGCAGACAAGTATCTTATCTTGCTTAAGGTAAAGCCAAGGGACCATCTCCCGTCCTACACTAGACATCACCACACACGTCTGAAACCCCTCTGCTGAGCGGCTCCTATCTGTCTGTATTCGCACCCTACTTTCAGGCTTGGTTGGGGACAAAGAACGCACGGCTGTTTCAAGGGCACCCGCCAAAGAAATTGTCGATGCCATGCTTGACGGATGGCTGACGGATGGCTGACGCCGGCAACGGCCAAGACAGCCCCGACTGTGCCACACATCGGCCATTACCAGCGCTACTAAAGGCAAGGTGTCTGACAAGTTGAGACTTGACGATGGCCGTTGCATAACGCACTGCGGACTGTTGCGCAAGAGCACGTTGCGGTTGCGGTTGCGGTTGCGGTTGCGTTGCGTTGCGCAACACGCAACGCCGCGAGGCGTTCGTGCCAACTGCCCACGTCCCATCAATGTGCTGTGGGCTTCGAAGCCTTCTGGAAACTCTCTGCCTTTTTCGTGAACCGGGACCAGCCCGGGAGCGGCCCATTCAGTCGTTACCAAAAATATGGTCGTCATCATCTACGGGAGACAGAGGCCACCAATTTACACACTACATCTTGTTCGTTAACATGAAGGCTTAGATGGAATCAATATTGTCGGGTGCCGAAAAGAAATGACATGACCAGGTCAAGATCAAAGAGCAGACCGCACCAGGTGGTGGATGGTGCCCAGAGCCAGCTGAGATTAGCTTGACGAGGCGGCCGGAGCTACGTACAGAATCACAAACACCGTCACACTTGTCAAACTGCGCTCCAGGGTCTCTTCCATTCCCTGATCGCAGTCTATCGCAGCACCTTATCGCCAGTGGACCATCACCCGCCAAAACATAGGTGCGTACGCCCTCCTACCTACTCTTGTCCAGGGGCAGGCTCGTCGTCCCCTTCACAAAGAGGAAAGAAAGCCGTGGAGCAAACAGGGGCCTGGGGACGGCAACGAACGGCCGTTCCTCGACTTCTTGTCTTCATCCAGTTCCCCTGCCCAACCGGCCCATCCGTCCGAGGTTTTGCTCTTTCGCTGGGTCCCTTAGTGCCTACCAACACGGGCTGGCTTGGGAGAATTGAGAGGTCAAGAAGGAAAAACCAAGGAGAGGGGCAATTTTGAAACATCGGTGAGCGTGAAACGGCAAAAAGCCGAGCATCGAGAAGCCGCGACAAGACCAGAACAGATGAGACAGGACTGAAGGAACACGAGAACTGCTTCCCATTGGCCTGGACATGGCTAATTCCCCGACTCCCCGCGGAAAATTAACAAACCCAGTGCCCATTCCGTCGTATCAGTTCCATTTCATTGTATTCCAACTGTCGCAGACGAGGTGGAAGCAATAACAAAGTCACTCATCTGCTGCGATTGCATCATCCGCCGCCATTTTAGACTCAAAAACTGCGATACCTTCGAACCTGGGTACCCCCGTTCTTGACAAGCCACCAGACGGCACATGACAACGATAGGTAGATTGGAGATAGAAATCCAAAGCGAATCACTCTCATTCCATCTCCCAATCTTCGGGTTATGCAGAACATCCTGCCATACTCCAGGCCTGCCAAGACAAGGCCGAGAATATTGACGATGGACAAAACGTATTGTCACTACATAATTGAAGCCATCACACTTCCAGCAGATCACAACACAGCATTCGTTTTCGGTACTGGATCGGCTTTCTTCGCCTGCCGTTGCGCGGCCAAAATTTTCGACTGACTCAGACTCTTGACGAAAAAGAGTTTCTTTCGTTTCCTCGATGCTCTCGTCATTCATCGGATGAACGAGAAACTCAACTCCACCTCCCAACCCTGATCGCGACGTCTAAGCGGTAGATGCTTGAAAAGAAGGGACCTCTGCGTACAAGACATGAACTGAGTTTGGATACCACAAAAGACTGGGAATCTCGACAATCTTTGCGTCGGATAGCCCTGACCATCTGCGCTAGATCCTGATTGCCGGGCGCAAATCGAAAACTTGAAATATGAGCTCAGGGCGCTTTGAGATTGCCAATGTCAGTCTAAGTGGCTCCTCTTCGTACAACATCTGGCTAAAGTTGATGTGCGCCGTGTCGAAGGCTCTCTCTATCATTCGATCATTATCTTGGTTGTAACCAGGCCGCAGCAGGGCCTGGATGCTTCACCTAGACCCAGAACTCCTTTCCCAGGACCTGAACGCCATCGCTTGTTGTATTAAATGCCGGGAAAGTTGAGCCAAAATAAACGACAATGATGAATACAAAAGTTTCATGGTTCGATTGACAACATCACCGGTTCCACTCAGACTTGCGGACCGATTTCCTGACCGTTGCGCTGCGTCGAATACTCTCCAGCCAGATAGAATCGTCCAGCATGTTGCTGACCTGTGCTGGGCTGACAGGACTTTGGACTGGGCTGACCGCACTTCCACGTCGGCTACTTTGAGCCGATGATTGTCCACCTTCTTGAAGCTCAAAGCTGAAAGCTGAGTGCGTCGAATTATGACCTGGCGTTGATATGCCCGACCGTGGAAAACTCAGCGGATGTTGATAGTCTGCGTCGTTGGATGCCATGTCTGGCCCTGGTGTCCAACTCTTGTGTGACGACTTGTTAGCGTCCTCCACAGTGAGAAGTGCAGACCTCATTTGACCAGTTCCAGCTACAGGAGAGGACTTTTGCCGGTGCTCGTCGTCATCCACAAGGATGTGAGGGATATCGAGCTGAGGAATCGCTGTCATTCTGGCCGATTTCCTCAGGTCGACATGCTTCTTGAACTTCCGCGTCCAGTAGCTAAGGGCACGAGGATTAGTTGACCGTGTTGAACATCTACAGGTTAAGGGGAAATGGAAACCTACAGGGTGTCGAAGAATCCCAGGACAATTCTTCGACGAACTTCTTCCTCGACACGCTGCAATCGGGCTCGCCGACGAAGGAACTCTTCCAGCCTGCCTACTTGTTAGCTCAACATGCTATCAAGTTGATGAGAGGTCACCTACTTCAAGCTCTTGCTGTCATTGATAATGTTGTAGTGGGCCAGAATCATTAGAACAGACGTAAAGGAAATGCCCTTGTCAGGATCTGCCGAGACCATAACCTCCTCGAAGAATATGTTGAACCGACGGCGCCGTTCACGCACTTTGTTGATATCGATCTGGGCCAAACGTCTGTTCAGCCGCTGAATATCGACCCCTGCACTGTAGTTGCTTGCTGAGGCGATTGACATGTGTCGTGCTCCGGAGGTTGCGGCGTCGTTGCGTACATCCTCCAGAATTTGTCTGACCGAGTCATCGGCATCGTAGATGCGCATCTCAAATACACCAGAGAGTTCGCCTAGGAGACGAGGAAAAGCGTCTTTGCTGATGAATCCGGTACCGGCAGGATCGACACTCCGCCATGCCTCTTTGAAACGGCGAATCTCGTCGCGATCAACGGCAGCAAGTCCGCTGGACCTCTGATACACATAACTGAAGCTCTCGTAGATAAGGGATACGAAGAGGTTGACAAAGATGTACATGCTGAGGATGTTCCATGCCACGAACAAGAAGCGAGCCCATGGTTTACTGCCACAATCGCTGTCGAAAAAGTCGGGATTATCCACGCACAGTGGCGGTTCAATGTTAGCGTAGTCTTCCATAACTTGATTCCAGCCTTCCCCGAAGCTCATTCGGAAGATAAGAATGAGAGCATTGGGTACACTGCGAAAGTTTATGTTACTCTCTTCATTCTCCCCAAAGCGAGTCAGACTGAAAGCCTGCGTGAGAGCAATGGCAAATACTAGGAAGAAAACGAGCCATGTAGCAAGTAGATTACCAATGGTGGTCAAACTGGCAGCGGCCGTTTTGAAAAGTTGGTCCAGGGCGTCGTTTCGAGGGATGAGAAGCAGTAGGATGGCGACCAGGAAGAATTTGTGCAATTGAACATATGTATCACTGTTCCTGCTGATGATGAGGACTGACGTGGAAACGAAAGCCCCCGTGACGACCACCAGGGAATAGAGATCCCACGAACTCCTGCGGAAGCGAGCCCAGCCAAGACCGATGATACGAATGGCAATATTAGCCATGTAGACTAATGTGAATGCCAAGAACAACCCATCTCTGGAATCGGTCCACCAGGCCGGTTCGCCGTGGTATTCGAGGAGCAGGAGCAAAAGATGGCAGACCAAGACGTACGTGACGGCTGTGTACCATTTGCCTCTCTTTTCAATTGCGCGCTTGTGACACCACTTCTTCCAAGTCTTCTCTGACTCATCGTAGGAACTCTTTGACGGTGAGATTTGCCGCAAAAGCTTGCGCAACTCTAGCCAAGAGCGTTGCTCGGCAGTCAGGAAAGCGACACCAGTCTGCTCAGTGTAGTTGCGCATGAACACCGAGATGAACAGCGTCAGCACGAATACGGTCGCAAGCAAGTTAAAGACGACGAAGAACATGGCGTTGCCTTGTCGGTTGAGTTCCTGTGGTTGATACCCGCGCCCAACCACCGCCTGTGAGGCGAAGGAAACGTCGGTCCAGCCTTCTTGGCTGACAATCTGGAAAAGCACAAATAGAGAAGACGCAAAATCATCGAAGCTGAAGTAGCTGTTGGATGGGACTCTAGGGGCGAGCATTGGCCAGTCGTCGTTGAACGGCGTGTTGTTGAATTCACCAAAACAGTCTGATAAAAGAACGATCGAATCATCGCCATCGTTGCACGAAACCATCTGTCCGTTGAATAGATTCAGCCCGTAGATGGCGAAGGGGATCAACAGGGAGATTGACACGAATGCGGCCTGTGTGACGTTGGTCAGTAAATGTAGCTTTATCATGGTTGGATCGACACGAAATACTTACACTGAGAATTTTCCAACCGCCGACGATGATAAGCGAATGAAATGTATCCCTTGCGCTGTCACTCACATTGAGTAAGCGCAGGGCACGTAATGCCTTGAAGGCACCAATCGCTCTAGACACGGCACCGTCGTTGGCGAGTAACGTGCCAACGTTGACGAGCAAGGTGACGAGTACAATTCCGTCGATGAAGCCCCAAGAGCTACGGTAGTACGCATTTGGCGTAAAGAAAAAGCCGTCGGCGATTACTTTAATAACAGCTTCGATAGAAAATACGACAGCGAACGCCGTGTCTGTCCACACATACCAGAAGGTGATGCTGAATTCAGGATGTTCTGCTTGGTACTGCTTCTGATAGAGTGGCGTCGTAACGCATGCAATCACAACCATTGCAACGATACAAGCATAGATGAAGGCAGACGAGGCATACCAAGCGATCTTATTGGGCTCGACACCATCGAATCGCTCGTTCCCTCTCCCTGGCCCAACGATCCTTTGACAGAAACGGCGAATGGGGTTTTTGGGAGTGAAAATGAACAAGGAGTTGTTGTAATTTGGGTGCCTCGCTAGGTACTCCCGCTGCGCCTTCCTCCGGGCAGAGGTGGCGGAAACTGCTTGTCGCGCCATCTGACGCGGATCGAGGGTATCATTTGGCCCATCGAAACGGATATTCGAGTAGAATGGGTTCGGATCCTTGCTGCTGAAAATGGAGGTCATCTTGCCCCATACGGATGACATGACGCCAGGTTTCACGTCACCGACAGCGACAGTTTGGGCTCGCGTGGGAGACTGCTGCTCCTCGACATGACTATCATGCTGGCCCTCCACGGAGTCGTCGAGAAATTCATGCACGACAGCATCCTTTAGCAACATTTCCATCATTGCCGGACCGTAGTCGAGGGGATCCTTTTTCCGCTTCACCTTGCCAAAGGTGAAGATGTTCGACAACGTCAGGTTGCTTGAGGACTTGCCAAGTTCTTTCCTCTGCAAGAAAGCTTTGACCTGCTCGAGCCGCTTCTCGTCTTCAGACACATCAAAATTTTCCTGGATGACAGCAATGAACATGTTGACGAGAATTAGAAACGCGAGGATGAACCACCCGATAAGAAAGATCGCCCCAATCCAGCCAGTATTGTAAGCGTTCAAATACGATGTGACGTTGTAAAGCATGGATGTCCAGTTCTCACTCGACAGGATTTGATACATGCCGAGGAACGAATTGTAAATGGTGAAAAACGAGACTTCGTTGAGGTCGCCGTCATCGCTGTGCTTCGGTATCTCGCCCCTGAATAGTTGAGCCGCCAGGATGGACATGAGAAATGTGATGAGAAAGACGAAAAGCATCAGGTTGGCAATACCGTTGGAGTTTCCCAAGACCATTACGATGAGCTTTCTCGTCATCGGCACCGCTAGAACCAATCGATACACCCGCAAGATTTGGAAAACGGTCAACCAGGCATAAGGTTCTCCCGAGTTACGGATTGGGGGAATGAGAATAATGCTCGTGATAACAGCTAGGCCTAGGTCGATAATGTTGCGTCGGCATTTGTGGAAAGTGCGCCAACCGGCGGCAATGCGTACGGCAATCTCGAAATCCAGAATGATTGTGACGACAACCTCGACGGCATCAATGAACCGACCGCGACTGTCTGACATCCGAGAGCTTCGAAAACACTGAGCCAGCAGACCGAAAGCGATGACTGCTATCCACAAGAAAGAAGTTTGATCGTAGATCTTTCGCAGTGCCGAAACCTTCTGTGGTGCCTCTTCAACTGGCTCTTGAACCAGTGGCTCCTCTTCCGTAGTGAAAGCGCTCGCCTTGCTCTCCTCCCGAATGACTTGGAAGGAAGACGTAATGACAGCAATGAGCAAGTTTACGAGCCACAACATGAGTATCATGATACCTGCCCCAAAGAACAGTGCCGCGGGAAGATAGTCCGAGTTGGTTGTGTAGTACATGATGTCGGTGAATGTGTTCGAGCTGATGATCACGAAAACCATCTCGATAGACTGGAAAATGTTGTCGAAGCTGACAGTTCCGTTGAACGGGTTTTCCTGTTGTAAACATATCGATCCTCTAGGGCAGATGAATCCTTTCCCAGCTTTGCTACCGTTCTTGAAGTTGTCCAAGACGGCATCATTATCTACCAGTACCCAGGGCATGGTGTCTCCCGTAACATTATTGAGGAATCCACCGCAGAATTGCATATCATTGGTGAAAGATTTAGTCTTGTTCGTGGGGTCTGTTGGGTCAAGCCAGACGCATTGGCGACTCAAACTGGCTTTGAAACTCTGCACACCAATAATGGCAAACAAGATCCAGAAGAAGGCTATGAGGAAGGCCACGCGAACGAGCAGCGGCGCCGCCTTTTTTAAACTTCTCAGGATGATCTGCAGGATGTCAGTATGGCATACACTTTCAAAAGCAAGGGACACTTACAGCTGTGCCGTTTGTAAGAGCAAGTAACCTCAGAATCCGCAAGCAGCTGATCATGCGGAACACGTAAAGGTGTTTTTGGCTCTCAATGCCTGTGATACTGAGAGCGAAGGATATCCAGAATGCGACAACAGCTAAGAAGTCTAGGCGATTGAAAGAATGACGCAAAAAGGCTCGTCGCGCGAGCTGAAATCTCTGATGTTCTTCGACGGTTTGAGGTAGCGTCTGGCCTTGCATGATAGTAAATGACCGCTGGAAAGCAGAGGGCCCAAGGTTGATCTGTCGCGTAGCTTTGACAGACTTTTGTCGTTGGGGTTGAAATATATTCCTGTACTGGTCCACGACGGCCGCTCTTACTCCCCGTTTTCGATCGATTGTGCTGTATTCCGAAGCATTCAAGATGAAGCCGGAAACCAGAATGCGAGCAATCAACTCGAGAGTGAAGATGGCAAACAGTACTAACATTGCCCAGTCAATCCACGTGATACCCCATCGGTCAGGGCGGGGGTGGGTGAAGACATCCGGTGCAGATTCTATTGCCAGTAGAACAGCTTGGCAGATGATGAGGATGAGAATGAACGGCTCGGTGAATGGGTGCACCAACAAGTCGCATAACTTGGTTCGTATCGGGTGGTCCGGAGGGAAAATGCCTAAAGACTTTCCTTTAAGGGGGTTCTTCATGGGGACACGCGGCTGGAGGGGAGGAGCAGGCTCTGCGAAGATGGCTGCGGCCTCTGGCGTCTTTTCAGGCACATGCGAGAAATGAGAATGATAGGAGGTATCGGTGAACATCTGCGCAGAATTGTGCAGCTGTTGCCGACGGTCCGGCACCGGGGAGGGTGACCGACCGCGTGAATTGCGCTGGTCGATTATTTCGCCCTCGCCGCTGATGTTAACAACACGCTGCGACATGGCTCGCATTATCGAGCCAGCTCTGTACAGCGCGCCAGCCGTAGACGGTGAGCGAGATCTTCTCTGATCTCCTCCTGGGCTAAGCGTGTTTCCGTAGCTGCGTCGTCCGGCACCCATGCCGCCGGGCTCCAGATCATAGCCCAAAGATCTTGCATCTCGGGTTCTTGAAGTCGTGTTGTCGATGTCGGATACAGTCTGAAAGCTGTCTCTGGGCTGAGCATCTCCCGCTGCATTGGCGCTTAAAGACCCGGAGATGGGCTGGGCTCTTGAAGTGAGAGGCACTCTATCCTCGTAGTAGTCGTTGTTTGCACCTTCATCGTAGTACGGAGAAGGACGATCAAGCGAGTCCAGAGATGGTGAGTTCAGTCGTGGGATTGGCGGTGGGGGAGGTTGGTTTATATCGGGTGGAAGTGCGAACTGAAGCGCGGACGCGTCGATGGGGGACTCTGGGCTTCCTGAGCTTGTCGGAGCGGCGACGTACGGCTGTTCCCAGTAGGTCGAAAGGCCGAGCCGATTGGGTGACAGCGGCGGTGCTGGAGTCTGGCCTTGACGCCCTCGCTCATACCCAGTTTGGGAGTCTGCCTGCAGACGGTCCCCGCCGGAGCCTGTGCTATCGTCTGGTCGCGAATTCATCTCGAAGTGATGATTCGAATCCAATCGAGGCTCAAAAGAGTTTTGAGATTTGCGGAAGCCACCGCGTCCTTGACACAGCTGTCGGAACCGGTCCGCAACGTCGTGAGGGGCGAGTGCGGTTGTGTCTATGACGGTCGAAGAACAAGACGCATGTTCCGTATTATTGTCGGGTCTCGGTGAGGCCCATGTCGAGGCGCCGGATCGTATCGCGTACAGCGATAATGCAACACCTTGGTATGGGTCGTGGGGTCGGAAAAGTTGTCGTCGGTCGCAAACTGGGTAGGTATTTCCCGGTGTCGACAAACGCGAGTGTCGAAGCAGAGTCAAGGCGGGAGTACAGGCTGAAATGATGGCAGGTCTGGGATCTAGGGGACTTCGAACACCGACCCAATCGTCAGCGCGAGAATATCTTTGCGATTCCGTTTCAATCGAATCGGAGCCGTGTTCAGATGGTGGGTGAAGGAATTGCGGCAGCTGTCGAGGCCGGATGTAAGACGAGTTGTTCGTTGCTGCTAACTGTCCTTGGTCAGAGCCTGAGTTCCCAAGAGGAATTAAGTCAGTACGCAGCAATTCGAGCACTGTAGAGAGACTTGGCGGTGTGGGACGTCCTCGGCGAAGTAGTTCTATTTTCAGCGTTTAAGGCGGATGGTCGGCATCGTCTGCTGCTGACAAGGACACGAAGAGCAAACTGTGATTGGTGGTGAGCCAAAATCTACCCCTACGTTACAGAAGTAAGGTACAGATGTAGGTGTTTTGGGTACCTTAAGTAGCCTTGGCGGAGCCCAGCCAGGGGGATGTGAATACACCGTAGTCCCAGGAACTTGGACACCGTCAAGGGGTTGCCAAAGTAGCTGGACAGTGCCCATGGAAGCCGTGTTTCGCTGCACGTACCCACCAGGTCTCGAAACGGCGTAACAGTCGGGTGTCAGCGTGTCGGCGTGGGCGGCCCTGTCCTGAACGATGAATATTGGTGCCGGGAGCCTTGGATCGGGAGTCCTCCCTCACCCCCTGGCGGGGGACTAGGTAAGGTGAGACGGTAGCCTTTGGAAGAACAGCACACGCATGAACGACATACAGAACTCAACGTACACACGTTCAATACGAGGACTAGTCACATCAGGCATTAAGAGCCTCAAAACTGCATCAAGCATGTGGTGTCGTTGCTCAGCTCTGCCTGACTGGGCGATTTGCGCAAGATCAATTCCGGTGCCGCCTGAAGCCAAATTGCTGCCTCCCCTGACGCTCAATCAGAGCACAGGTGAACCATAGGTAGGTATCCAGGTATCAAGGCAGATTGTTCCAACAAACTGAGTAAATACGAACGAGCCAAGGGACTTCGGGGAATTAAGCCTGTTCTATAGGACGGGAGCTTTAGGTATTCAGACGAAGTGAGGGAAAACGGCTTGGAAATGGATATTCTCCATCCGGCTACCTACCTAAGGTACATGTGGACAAGGTGGGGGGCGGATGCTGAGTCTCCTTATGGAGCTTATGTAAGGTAACATAAGGGACCTGGCGTACCTTATGTAAGTACCTATCATGTCCGCGGCAGAAGCACTGGACGCAACCTAAGGGTACCCGTCAGAAACTAACCCGCCTAACCCGACGCGTCGCCGGTCGGTCCTGACGGCAGGCACGTCGTGTTAAGGTCGGGTGCCTTAGGTAGGTAGGTAGGTAATCTTACACGGTCGCGTACCTGGCAGCTGAGAAGTACCGCGCCGTACAAACTGCACGCCATCGCTACCTCACCTCTAGCCTTGCAAAACCACCCCGGACGGCACCCATCACGGCACCTGCATTCTAATGCTTATGACGACCCCATCTCAGATTTTGATTGCTTCTCCCAAGGAGCGAAACTACGTTACGCCGGATTTCTGTTGTCCTTCGCCCTGTTGCATTCTTACCACTCTTGCCGACTCGGATAGCGCTTTCGCATCTTACCTGACGTGCACTCGCTCGGCGCCACTGCGCCGCAGAAAACTCCCTTGTCTCTTCAAAGCTTCTTTTTTCTTCGCGACGTCTTCACCATCAACCTCTACGTCGCCTTGTCTTGCCATTGGTAGTTTCAACCCTTTCTCGGCCACGACATGCCCACGACGCGACGCCTCGGATAGTAATCCTCAACTGACAAAGACATACCTGGTTTCCAGAAGGCGCTCTTAACCTCGCGACACACCAATCCAGAAGATGGTCTCGTCACGCAAACGGAATATTGAAGAAATCGACGTTGTAGAACGAGAGGAGCCAACCCTACTCCATCGCATTCGCAGCCAATGGCAATTTGCCAACCTGTGTCAATGGATCTTTCTTTTCGGGAAGGTCGTTAAGATTGACGACAGTCTGGACACCGAAGTAAGCTGCCTGCCCTTCCCAACCGTGCTTACCAACTTTGCAATTACTGACCCGCGATGCCACAGGATATCGAAACCGAATGCCTCAAGCCAAACGCTCCCGTGCTCCAGGACATTGGCCTGGCTCTTCTCAAGTTCATATCGTCGCACAGAGGCTTGACGTACGCTTCAACCCAGATCCCTCGCGTTTTCCGACCGCTGACCAGGAGCAGGCACGAATTGTTCGACGAGTACACCAGAAGGCAATATTTAGCTAGAGCGCCCGAAAAGAATCCGTTTGGTTCCGATGAGGTTGCTGCAAAATTCGCTGACTTTGACGTCTTAAGAAAGGCAGCTTCTCACCATTGCCAAGTTATCAAGCTTCATTGCTGACCATGCAATAGATTCAGATTCTCCAACAAATGACACAATGGATTATGCTGCGTCCCGAACGCGTAAGGGAGAAGATGGAGGAACAGAAGGATGTTGACCAGGCCAGCTGGGTAAGTGCCTGAAATTCGGCGAGTCTCGGTATGCCGTACTAAGATACCTGAACAGCGGATAGAACCCCTGGGTTGGGATAGGGATGACCGCACCTACTTTGTCCTCGATGACAATAGGGTATACCGCCTCACCGATGCTCCACCAAAGCAAGTAACACCGAAGAAGAAGTCCAAGCCGACCAAGTACGGCTCTCGGTCTAACAAGAGGCGCCGCGTCTCTGCAGCAGAGGCTGCCGATGAACCGGATCAAACCCCAAAAGAATCCACGGAAGCGCCTTCGCCTACTCGCGAGGACGACGGTCTCGGTGGCATGAAGTGGGAATGTGTTGCTGTGACCCTAGAAGAGGTCCAAGGGCTTATCGCCTCTTTTCACAAGACCAAGGACGACAACGAGAAGATACTGCGAGACTCTCTGCGAGACCACTTGCTGCCCATTTTGGAGAAGCAAGAAGAGTCGAGGAAACGCAAAGAGCAACAACGCGAGAAGGAGCTTCTTAATTTGGCGAAAATGGCGAATGCCAAACGATCAAGCAGGATCGCTGGCAAAGTTGAACAACAGAAGCAAGAGGAGAAGGCCAAGGAGGAGGCCCAAGTGGTCCAGGCTCAACAAGTTGCTGCAAGAAAAGAGGAGCAACAACGGCTCAAACTCGAAAAAGAGCGAGATTCGAGGCTGTTGTCCCGTGAAAAGCGCCTGAAAGAGCGGGAAGCCCGGCGCTCACAGCACGAAAGGGAACTCTCTCAGCTTTCGGAAGACAACCGCAGTGGTTCAGGTCGCGTATCTGAACGTCGACTGCAGGCTGAGATAGAGAAGAACAAGCGTGCGCTTCAGGAGCTCGATGACGAAGACGAAGAGGATGACTGGATCTTCGACTGCATTTGTGGCGTTTATGGCCAGGTAGATGACGGGACGCATAGTATTTCCTGCGAGAAGTGCAATGTCTGGCAGCACAGCAAGTGCGTAGGCATAAGTGAGACCGAGGCTGAGAGAACAGAATTCCACTTCGTCTGTCAGACTTGCCGGCGACGCGCGGAGGAGGCGGCTGCAAGGCCACGGACGACAATTAAGCTGAAGGTCAGTCGACCCTCCGACTCGTCACCTGCCAGCCAGCTCCCCACAGCACATAGTCCTCGGCCATCTGCTGGAATCATTGTCGAAATTTCATCACGCTCACAACCGATGGATGGACCGAGCGTTACTCAGACCGATGAAAGTACGCAATCAACCTCTTTCTCTGGGGACCAGACTACCCAGCCTGAGTCCAACTCACAAGACGGGAAGACAACCTTGGACGGAGTGTCTCCTGTTGTTACGCCAGTCGCTGGACCATCGGAACCGTCAGACCGGGTCAGAGAGAGAGAATCAGGCAAAACAGGCAGTAATGAGCCAGCGACACCCAAGGCTGATGACTCAGTCGATGTTGCAGCGCACTTCATGGCTAACGGGTCCGTATTAACTGGTCGCGATGGATTACCGTCGAGCCCCACTCGACTGGAGGCAACTCCTGGCCCTGCAGATACTTCATCGCCCAGGCCAGGAGTGTCTAGCTTGACAGCAACCCCGGTTATCAGTCGCGAACATGGCGTTCCTGGCTCAGCGCACTCATCATTCACACTACCCTCAGCTGAAGCTGGGCTTTCCCCGACGAAGCATTCACCTCCTCTGCCCCGTCCGCAACCTCCCAGCATCAAGACACCTGTTTTGCCTGCTGTCCTTCCGCCTGTAGCGACGTTGTCACCGTCCCCACGTCAGCAAATTTTGACACCTCCGATCAAGTCTACAGAGCCGGGTCGGCGATCGCTGCCTCCAGGATCGACTCCCGCCGCCATCTGAGCAAAACACATGGGTGATGGGGAACGCGGCAGCAGCAAGAGGTTGATAGTGATGCAAAATGCCTCTTTCATCATGTGGTCTCGAGATGTCCTTATGAGGCAGTGTAGACAGGGGATCAGCCTGAGGACGCACGAGCATTATTTCTGGCATGACCACGGATTGATATTAGGTTCGATGGCAGCTCGCGTGGCAGTGGAAGGATGTGGCTGGATAAGTGTATGACGAATGATCTAATAGAGTGTGGATGACCAAAACAGCCTTCACGACGTTTATTCAAGAGCCTTTGGCACATCGAGTCCGCCGTAAAGGCTATGTTCTGCGTCCAGAGACCAAGAGTGTCAACAGCGGTCTACTTACCTTGGATTAAACAGTGATCTCAACGCGGTAACTTTGTACGCGGGAATTAAATTGGCAAACGCGCGACGCATCACACTTGTCGATGCGCACATTCCGGTTCTCATGGGGTGTCCGACCGATCGGCTTGACATAGATCTGGCGTCGCATGTCTCGATCAGCTGCCTTCGGCGAGAGATGACCTCTGCCTGCCTTGTCCGTAAAGCGCGACCGTCAGTGTCATGGCAGTCACGACTGACCACTAGCCTTTTCCCACGGCAAAACTACTGGCCTTGGGTAAGTGACATGAAGTTACGGAGATGTTGGTTGAGTATTCGCCTTGGACATGTCTGATGCCAGCAAACGGCCCGTCAACTTGGCGGTCGGGTGGGAGCTCAAACGACCCTCATACATGGTGACGCACTGCGGCTGGGTCTCTGGGCAACCGTATGTGAAGACGGGCTGTACGAGACATTCGACTGGTCGTAAACCGAGCGTACCGATGTTTATGTGCCTTGATATACAGGTTGCCAACGAACGGAAGAAGAGCCAAGACCATGCTTTACCACGTGCATGGTACGAGACGGGAACGGGCGGGAATATTGCAGTCCCTCGAGGAAGAGCTCTGCATGAAGAGAGGAATAAGCCAAAGGCGGAGGCAAGAACAGAAAGAGAGAAAACGAAAAGGATAGCAGTGAGACAGGTCGGCGACATACTACTTCCTAGGTATGGTAAGAGTCAGGCCCGGGTCGGAGAGGTTAAGCTAAGCAAAGTTTGGAGAAGAAAATCTCCTTGGCGGCGTCTAGTCTAGTGCCAGATCCAGAGGCATAGCCGGGCAGGTAGCGCGCTATAGCTGCAGACGTAAGCCGCAAGCGCCGCAGGAAAGGAAGGCGACTGGCTCAGAGGATGCGCGCAAAGTCCAGTCCCGGCTGCGATGGCGGCTCCAGGCTGGCTCGTCTTAGCACTTGCTTGTAGCTTCTTCTACTGGCTCTGGAATGGGGTTGACGATGTGCAAGGACACTATTATCCGGAGGAGACGAGCTGTCGAGCGAGCCTGAGGCGGCACCATCGGTTCTGTCGCCCGCACACTGCCTTGCCTTGGTGGCAGTGGTTGTGGGAGTGATAGTGGCACAAGACGGGCTATCCGAAGAGGCCGGACGGTGCCTACTTTACCTTGGGTAGGTACGGTTCGTTCTTTTGTCTCGGTCTCCAGCTGACTTGTCGATCGTCCATGGGCTCAATGAGGAGGACCCTCCTAAACTGGAATACGTGCACCGACGATGGGTTCTAGGCTCGGGAATCGGGACCCCAGGTCCAGCTTAGGACGTAAATGTCGGCGGCAAACAAGACAAACAGTATGCCAACTCATATTACAGGACGGATCAAACACGCGAGAGAGGTGGGTGTCTACTGCCTCTAGGTACTCAGCGTCAGCATATTCTATCCTTCCTCTGTCACCCACCCTCATCACATGGCGCGGTGCGGAATGTTGGGTAACAGCTCGTTGATTCGCTGCCGCGTCCTATTCAGATTGGCTATGAATGGGAAATGGTGGAATCGGATACGCAGCAGGGGTGATGGTTGGTAGCGGGCAGCCGGGGTTTGGCGAGAACGAAGGGGGTGTTGGAATGACAGCTGAGTCTCTGGTGAGGTCATGTGGGGTGGACTGCACAAGTACTTCACCCAACTACAGCTTGGTGCAGGCATACCTACACTACCTTAGACACAGATGCGGACGCGAGATTCACCCAACTCATTCTGTTGGTTGGGGTGGAGAGCAGCCATCTGTGAGGTGTGTCTATCGCCAATTGAGTGCACTCAGTACACCCAAGGCAAGCAGCAAAACAGCGAGCCAGGTGACGATGCGAGGACGGCGATGACGGGAGGACTGCCGGGACAAGTGTGGTTTTACTTAGCTGGTGAGGGATGAGGTTGGGTAAGGTAGGTGCGCAATATGAACAGTTGCAGTGGGTAAAGTAGATCAAGTAAAAGTTGAGAGACGGCAAGGAGGTGTTGTGTGGAATTGATCCTGCTTGCTGCGTAGCATTCATAGACGGGAATAGGAGATGGGTGCCCGGGATGACATGGACATGGAGGAAGGTCTTCTATCTCCGCTTACCTACCACCTGCTTGCCCGTGCCCGTCTTGCACCCGCCACGTACCTGGGCTTACCGTACCTCAGTATCCGTACCTACCTAGGTACCTTATGCTCCTGCACCTGGCGCGTGGTAGCCCTTGCAGGCCTGGTGCTGGTGCAAGTGCCCTCCCTGCACGTACCTAGGTAAGTAGGCACCTAAGGTAAGGTAAGGTAATGTAATGTAGGTGCCATACCGTACCTACCTTACCTTATGCGTAGAGCGGGGCGATGACAGCCCACACTGTGCCGGGTGTCAGTTCAACTTGTCAGGATCAAAGAACCGAACGCGCCACAGGCTGTTCTTGGACTAGGCCAATCAGGACAGGCGCCACCAACGATTCCGGCAGCACAGACAGCCCGATGTACCGATTCGAGCAAACAAACATTCCTCTTGAGCCTCTCTAACCCAACTTCACCAACTGAACAGCTTTTTTTATTTTTATTTTTTATGGTTTTTTGTGCCAACGCCTCCCCCTCTGTCGCCTTCGCCTCCTCTCGCCTCGCGTCCCCTTGCATTGCTTTTACCCTTCACCTTCCCAGTCCACTGGCTGGGCCGCGGCATTGCCTGCTTCCCTAGACCTAGCTACCTTTCACTGGCCCTGGGCCCGCTTCCGTGCTCGAACCTCATCTCTTCCTGCTCTCCGCCCCAATCACAATCAAAGCCTCTTGGGTCTGGTCTCTTGTTTGTCTCCCGCCTGGATTGTTCTGTCATGGTACGGCAAGCAAAACGACGGGGGTGGAGGGCAAGGGCGGGGGAGATTGAGCCACATACTGGCCCCCATGACACGGTACGGCCTGAGGGAGGAGGGGTGAGTTACGAAGGGCGATAGCACACACATTGTCAGCGGCTGAATGGAAATAGAGCTGAGGGAAGGAATCGGAATATGTGAGCGAAGAATAAGAAGAGACATGAGCAGGGGCAAGAGAAGGAGGAAAGACAACGTCCATGCTGACCCCGTCCGCTCTATCAGTCTTGGGCTTGGCCGACAGAGAAAATGCCACCGCCACATTCTTCGGTTACCAGCGCGAACCGGTGGGGGAACATGGTCAGACATGATTCCCGTCAAGATACCCTCGCCAACATAAGATATGACGATGGCACAGGATGGGCCAGCTCACGGCTGCTCAGTGCTACCCCGAGAGGCACCAGCTCCAACAGCGGCCACTGCCCTGTTGCCAACGACAAGAGAAGCAAGACATGGATATCCATCCGTAAACAGGCGCACGTAGGTGCCCACTCCGGCAGCAAGCATCACATCACACGGCTGATGCCCTTCTCCCCCTGGCGCCGTCATCCCTGCCCATGGTGAATTCCCTGTTGGTCGTTGGCAATCAAAGACCTGCGAGTCCGGGTTGTTTCTATGATTATTACGAGGCTGCTACACTCTCTTGAATGTCAGCTCCCTTGGTGTTCAGAGTGCTAGGCAGGGCGCATTGCAGGGTATTACATGGCAGCTCCCGTGGTACGGCATATTAGCCTGGACCATGACAGCAGAAGAGGCACAACCCATTCGTCTTAACCGAAGACGGCCAAACAGATAGACAGACGAGCAGCGGCCGGGGCTTGCTAAGGATATGTGCCTTGCCTAAGGTAGGGTAAGGCTGGTGTACGGCCGCCCGGCGCCGCTTTCAAACCCACATCCGAATGCGGCAATCAGCTAGATGCTCTTTCGGACGCAGAGAAGCCAGCGACGGCATACGACAGAGGCTAAGGCAAGAGAACCAGAGGGTCGCCTTAGATGCACATGCGTAACATGTACACATAAAACCACCCAGCCCAGCCAGATGCTTTTCTTTCATTCCTCCCACCTAGCATCTGATTCAATGAATGAATCTCCTCTTACGACAAAGACAAGGTGTCCTGGGCTTTGACTTGCGTTGCTTCACTTCGCTTCCCGGATGCTTCTGACCCTGGCTTTGGCTCTTGGACCCGGCTTCCCTGACCGGTGATCGGTACAGCATCGCACTCATACCATTCACAGCACTCGGATTACCACTTGCCCTCACCACCATCACTCCCATCACCTTGGAACATCATTACTCTCCAGGTCGCAGGGGGCTATCCTTGCCAAGGTTCCCAACGACAAGAAGAAGGAACCCAAAGAGACAGAAGAGGAGAAAGAACCGAGAGGGTAGAAAGAGAAGGCGGCAAGACAACACTGACCCAGCATACCGAACAACTATATTGGAGTTCTGAAGGGAGATCGGACAAACATCAATATACACGAATTACCGAAGAGACCCCCGGTCCGCTTTTGACATCGACAACTACAGAGCACCCAGCTAGAAGGAAGAGAGAGCTGGATCGAGCGATATCATCAAAGACCATCACCTAGCTTCGATCTCAAGCAAGCAAAACCCCCTTGTCACAAAGACGACAGGCTATTCATAGAGCCTTTCATGCTTGGCCAGTCTTCACCTCACCGCCGCTCCCTAGCAAGCTCGTTCAGTCAAATCTCAAGCTTGACATTGTCGTCGCATCCTGCGTCCCAGGGGAACGGTCCCAGATCACTTGCCTGATCCCTGCTCTTCGGCTGCTTGCGAGGTATTCGTCACTCCATTCCCAGACCTTGCATCCCTTGGCCATACCTCAACTCTGAAGCTGTCACCCGTACTCAGAACATTACCTGGACATGCCCATGCACTAGCCACACCTGCACCTCATCCACATGCAGCTGCAGCTGCAATACAAGACAGACAGCTCATCCCCAGAAGGACACCAGGGCCAGATACACCAGCAGACGCAGGAGTAGAGCAGAAACGGAGCGAGAGACTCAACAGGCCTCTCCTTGTCAGCAGGACTACCAACCGTTGCAATCTCTCTGAACTTCTCACTTCCCTTCCTCGTGCAACTTGATGCACACACCACCCTCCAAGCACACCCCACCAAGCTGCAATAATTTCAGCATCTGCTGAATGTAGATATCTGCAGTGCAGCTCCCCTTTCAACTTTCAATCCTTTCGCATATCACAGCTGCCGGCTGCTTTCCCCTCAAGCATTCACCTTACCGGACTACTGTGCTGTGCAACACTCACATTGGTCGAGCCTTGTCCCCCCCTCATCACCTGGGTCGTCCTGCGACCACTTGATTCTCCCACAAGTACGAAAAACATCTCTCCACTTGAGGATTAGAAACGAAAAAGGGTTGTTGTGGTAACTCCAGGGAACCAAAGAGCAAAACACCCAGCTCATTTGAAGCCTTGGACTACCCCCATCATCAACTTCTTCTTCATTTCGTCATACCTGTCCACATTTCCATCGACTATCAAGTAGTTGGGTATCATCTGACGGGCCAGTCTTTTCTCTTCGTCATTTACCATTTCTCTCACTTGTTGGGATGGCACACAACGGCCCACCTTCTCCAGCCCCTTCAAACGATGACATCTACACCAACGGACTGCATCACATGATACGATCGAACGGAACCACATCGTATCCAAGAGAGCATCTGCACCCAAATGATATGGGTGGATACCAAACGCCATCTCGATACGGTACGCCTGGTCCTCAACAAGACATGCCATACGATCATACCTCTCCGTACTCCCACCGCGGACATGAGAGCCGGATGGTAAGTAGCAACCACGTCAAACGCGCTAGAAGACGGACCGAACTGACCTACTGAAGCACTCGTACAACCACACGGCCTATGATACCAGTGGTGGCTCACTCTATGGACCGCTCTCCGGAGACCTAAACCATCAGGTACGCAATCAACGCAGCAACAAGTGGATGTGAAGTAGCTCACAAGTCTTTTCACAGCCCTACAGTACCCCTGACACATCACCGCCGACGCCCTCCCGTGCGTCTGATGTGCTAACAACCCGAAGCGGACTCAACGTTCACAAAGGGCCTTCTATCAGCAAGCCTCTGGCAACCCGCACTGGCCGCGTTGAGAAATCAACCCCTAGGAAGAAAAAGGAGCGTGCCAAATCGTCCAAGAAGGTTGACGGGCTCCAAAAGCCACTGAGCGAGCTGGCGAGAGAGCAGCCTCAAGTGCCCGTGGCTGACATCGAGGCCTACGTCCAGCGATCGGCGGAAGCACGATTGAAAGAGGTGGAAGAGAGCAAGACGCCCGGTAGGATCAAACGGCCCATGAATGCATTCATGCTGTATCGCAAGGCGTACCAGAACTTGGCCAAGAGTCTTTGCACGCAAAATAACCACCAAGTCGTATCTCAGGTCTGCGGTAGCGGCTGGCCCTTGGAGCCTGAACACGTCCGCGATCAATTCAACGAGTGGGCTAAGATGGAGCGAGCTAATCACCAGAAAGCCCACCCGGGCTACAAGTTCACACCATCAAAACCGAGGCCCAAGGCAAGGGACGGAGAGGGAGATTCCGAGGAGGGTGATTTGGAAGATCTCGAATGGGGTGCCAGCCGAGCAAGCTCGAGAAGCAGACAGATCAGGAAGCCGGGAAACGGTCGCAACGATGCGCCGGCATCAATCTTCCACAACTATCCCCCGCTTTCAGGCAGCCCGATGGGTCTTGGAGTGCAGACTCAGTCCATGTATCACTACAGCAACCCTGGCAAGCCTCTGCCAGCACCGTACAGCCAGACGGGCCTTGGTGGGCAGTACTACCAGCAGAGCGTTCATCAGCGACAAGACGCCACCGGTTTCGTCGAGGACGTTCTTATCAGAAAGACGCCATCTCCGGCAATGGGCTACTCCGCCCCACCTATGGATGGCCGCTTCGACGGTATGAGCCAGTACGGACCCATGTCCCACCACGACGGCCTCGAGCCCATGATTGATCCGGGTTTGATGGGCCATGGAGGTCATCCATATGGTGATCCGTATGGGGATCCCATGCTGGAGCCTAGATGGACGAATCCGCTTGGCTTCGGCGACGGCAGACAGGACCTGCTCGATGGTCTGTCAGGCTATGACGAGAATCTCATGCATGATCCGCAGCTTCAGATCCTGCGGGGGCAAGAGAGCAGCTGGAGGGTGGAGGAGCTTGAAGGAAGCCACTTCAACAACTGGATTGACCAGCCAGAGTGAGTACAACGCAATACAGCACGTTGTGATAGGTGGATGTCGCGTTTCCAGCGTGGAATGAGCTGGCAAACCATAAATGTACGGGTTGCGGGGAGTTTTCTCTCCTGCTTGGATGGCATGTGATTGTTTTACAGGTGGAGTTTGGATCAACGTGGAGATTAGCATTGTATGACACCGGTCGAACCGCCGGAGCAGAGTAGAAATGACTTTACACATCTGCGACCAGGTTGAGGGCCTCGTTGCGAATATGCTTTGCAAGTTGGGCATTCCTGTATCCTTGACCGAGGCCTAGATGGTGGCAAATGTGGCGCATATTTACTCATTGCCACTGATGGGAGCCGATATCCGTTCCTCAGTCTCATGCACGGCGGCCGCGAACCACCAGGGCGCATCGAGTTTAGAACTCAAGGCTTCTGCATGGGCGTTGCGACGCGTTGGGGGCCTGTGGCTCACCAATCGATGTTGAAGGGCTAAGGTATCATGTAACGGCCGGCCACTGCTCTGGTCGAAACGTAACTCGAGGTTCCAAGACATCGTATTCGTACATTTTCCAGCGGCGTCTGAACCCCCTTAAATGCATAATCTCTGTTACAGCCGCACGGCTCATAGCTCGCTTAGCCGTATAACGACTCATGTCCGAGGTAAGCTAGATAGCTACCTACCTATTATTATTTGATTTATACAAATGCAAATGCTGAGACCTGCGCCTTGACTCCATCTTCGCCCACTGCCTCAGGAAGCTTTCGCTTGACGCCATACACATCACGACGCATGAAGATACTATGACGTGGATTTCCCGCTCTATTGCTGCCTTTGGGCTTGTGTTGCTGGGTCACGCGTGAGTTCGACCATGCTCGCATTCTCCGCAGCCGTTCATGACTGACGTCGTATCCTATGCAACAGTTGCTATTCAGCCCAGGAGCATACGGCACTACAATCATTCCGAGCCGCATCGCCTTTGTCTTCGTCACCTGATTCAGCCACGACCTCGCTACCCGCAGACATCACGATCGAAACGGCAGTCGCGACCATTATCGTTGTACTGGGACTTGTGCTGGGTGCCCCGAACCTTCGACCGATTCAATGGCGCGTCTGGGCTGGCAAAATCGAGAGGGAGGGTGAGGCAGGGTTCCTCAGTGGCAGCGGTGAGGTTGAGAAAGATTACTTGGGCAACCCCTTTCGAATTCTTGAGAGCCGGCCGGGCTTCGTCGATATCAGGAAACAGAAGGGCGACTTCGCCAATTGGGCTAAAGACGACAAGAAGACCCAAGCAACCACTGCCTCGTCATGAGAGCAGTCTGGTTTGTAGATATCTGGAAGCGGTCACCACGAAGTATCCATGGATCTTCTTCTCGACCGGACTAGACCACCAAATATGATACTAGGGGACAATTGATTCAACAAAAACGCACATCACGAACTAGCCCTGGTTCTTGTTCGATGATGTATGTGTAATGTCGGATGAATGGACATTCTTGGCCGAACGATGTTTGCGATGTGGTTGTAATACTCACCGCCGTGCCCTTCCGCATGTATGAGCTCAGGCTCCCTAACGTCTGGCCGTCGCTTACTTCCTCAAGGGGTGCACCTTCCTCGTGCGAGACGGAGATGCATGGTTGGGGACCTGCACCTGCCACATTTTCTTTTCCTTGTTGCAGTGAGGCAAGTACGTGTCTGCCACGCCCTTTCCAGGCCACCGTTGCCAAAGTTGAAAACTTCTATCCTTCTTCCCTGAGGGCGTCTGATTTTGACAAACAACAACATCGTGTTCTCCTCTACTCGCTGCCTCCATCAACCTTCGATCAAACCCTCAAGAATGCTGCAATGTCTGCCAGTGGCCCGCCCAGTTTCCTTTCTCAATACGGTCAAGCTCGTTTGAGGAGCAGCTCGAGCAGCAAGTCAGGACTTCCGTCCATCTTGCGAGGCCCCTTTCAGCACCGCCAGCGACGCAGTCCCAGTCTTGCCGGGCCAATTCGTACTTCGCCCATTTTTCCTACTCCAAGGGGTGCTCACTCAGTACGCCGCGGAGACCGGTCGAGTCAGAGCGTACGCGCTGCCGCATCAGTTCAGATTTCGGCTTTGCAACAACACTTGCCTGATGATGGTTTTTCATCGTCTCCGACTAGAAGTCTGCACCCCGGTTTTTCGGCGCAGCCACGCTTGCCCGCTCATGGACAGTGGCCTTCTTCCGGGGAGGCAGCTGTTCCAGAACACTGGTGCGATGAGGTTGTTATGGCTGTTGATGTCAAGGACAAGGGTGCTCTTGGATGCGCCTACTACAGGACTTCTGAGGATGCTATCTATCTACTACGCGACGCGCCCGGCACCGGTTTGCTTACTTTCATCAACTTTCTCATGGTTCATGTTGAGCCGACGGTGGTTGTGTTACCTCTGAAGATGCCCGATGAGGTGGTTCGTTTCTTCGAAGAGCACAAGGTCGTTGCCCGTGAAGGTAGGTTCCTCCGTGGCGATCCTGCGGAACAACGCTCAATGCACGGATTAGACGATCCCGGAACTGAGCGCTACCTCCTGCGAACTGTCGGCTCGAATGAGTTCAACCACCAGGACTCCATCGATAAGTTGATAGACTTGCCACCTATTTGTTCGGGGCCAATTGTGGTGAACACTGCTACCGGTCGCTCGCCGAATGACGTCGCGCAAGGTGAGTGTCGAAATATCAAGCTCATGCGCCTTGGCTCATTCGTCGACCTCGATTGCTTTTCATCAGTAGGTTCAAATTTTGATTCATCAAGAGGCGAGCTCTGGTGGGCTGACACCTGCCAGATTGGGTGTGCCGGGGCCGTTTTGGGTGAAATCGCTCGCATTGGCAACGCTGCTGATGGTCTGTTAAGGGTACCGGTAGCCTCGATTCAGATGTTTGCCCTTTCGGATTCTATGCTGGTTACCGATGAAACGATTTCTTCGCTCCAAGTTTTCCAATCCGAACTTCATCCGAACAGGTTGATGTCCGGCTCGGCCACAGCGGGCTCCTGCTCAAAAGAGAGCCTGTCAGTCTATGGTCTGTTTCATCCCTTCGCAAGCACTCCTCAAGGGAAGGTCAAACTGCGGCAAATGTTCTTGCGCCCTTCACTCAATCTTGACACGATCCGTGAGAGGCAGAAAACTGTCACGGTCCTACTTCAGTCCGACAATGCAGAGGCACTCGAGAGTGTATGCGGAGCCCTGAAGAAGATTCAGGATGTACGAAGGCCTCTGGAACAGTTACGAAGAGGAGCAGATATCTCAACCGGAAAAGCCATTGGCCGTGGTGTTTGGTGGTCTTTGACTCGATTTTCGATTGCTGTTCTTCAACTTCGAGATGCCATGTTGCAGTTGCAACACACGCATGGCCTTGCTTGCGTACAACAGGTAAGTTCTCTATAAGATTAGACATCCCTTCAACCTGCTAATATGTTTCATCAGGTTATTTCTATTATTTCCACTCGTGTTATCAAAGGCGTCGCTGAGAAAGTCGACTCTATTATCGATTTTGACGAAGTCAAGGCTAGCTCGAGGATTGCAGTGAAGCCCCATGTCAACGTGCAGCTTGACAAACTAAAGCATGACTATCAGGGCTTGGATTCCCTTCTGGACGATATACGCAAATCAATGTCACAAGAACTCCCTGAATGGGCTCGGCCATATGTCACTGGCTGCGTCTTTTGGCCACAGCTTGGCTTTTTCACGGTGGTCTCTCTTCGCCAAGATGGCACACCCGCGTACATGGGACAGGAGCTTTATGATGACAGATGGGAAGTTATGTTCATCACCGGGGGTAGCGTCTATTTCAAGAACCGCCGCATGGCAGAACTGGACGCTCAACTAGGTGACCCCTATTCGGTAATCGTAGGTACGTACGTACTGATGTTTTGGCACCTAACGAGAAGACCTGGTTAAGATTTGGCGAAGACCTAGAGATACAGATTCTTCACGACCTCGCCTGCGAGGTTCTTGAACATGCCCCCGTCCTAAATCACGCCGCGGATGCGTGTGGCGACTTCGACTGTTTGGTGGCTTTAGCACGGGGGGCTCGGAAGTATGGTTGGACGGCTCCAACGATGACAACCGACAATGTTATCTCCATCCAGGGCGGACGCCACCCGCTTCAAGAACTGGCCGTACATTCATTCATCGCAAATGATTGCATGCTGGAGGGGGGTTGCGGTGACCCTCGAGGTCACCGTGGCGAAACTACGACACTCGTCATTACTGGGCCCAATCATTCTGGCAAGAGCGTCTGCATCAAACAAGTCGCTCTTATTGTCTACCTAGCCCATATTGGAAGCTTCGTCCCGGCAAGTCTTGCTACGATAGGAATTACGGACCAGATTCTCACTCGCATCTCGACGCGGGAGAGCGTGTCACAGAAGGAAAGCGCTTTTGGGACTGACTTGAGACAAGGAGCCTTTGTCATGCGGCATGCTACTCGCCGGAGTCTCGTCGTGATTGACGAGTTCGGTAAGGGCACTACGGCCGACGATGGAGCCGGGCTTATGGCAGGACTCATTGACCACTTCAATGCGCTCGGTACCGATGCGCCTAAGGTACTCATTACTACGCATTGTCATGAGATTTTCGAAGGCGGATACCTGCGAGACCGGCCAGGTCTAACCTTTGCTTATATGGACGTGCGTCTCGACTTGGCTGCCCCAATAGACGACCAGGTAGTTTTCCTTTACGACCTTCGTCTTGGAAGAAGCATATCTAGCTTCGGTAGCAATTGCGCGGCAATCAATGGGGTCAGCAAAGCCGTAGTTGAGCGAGCGGAAGCGATTATACTGTTGTTGGCGCGAAACGAAGATCTTGGGGCAGCGTGTGCCAAATTGGATGACGAGGATCAGGCACGTCTCCAAGAGGCCGAGGCAGTCGCCAGGAACTTCATTGAGCTGGCTATGGGCGATGAAGTCGAGGCTCCAAGGGAAATATTGGGGCATTTGCTGTGGCGAGGTTAACATGTGTTCTGTGCGCCCTGGTAGCAGACTCTGTCAGTGATTTGACGAGGGCTTGCGGGTAGAGAGCTGTATTCATTAAGCGAAGTAGATCTGTCGGCTGCTATAAACATGAGGTTCGGATGGCGTGATGAATATTCTCCAGACGAAGCGGCTGGAGACTGCTTAAGTTTACTCCCCTGTCTTTGTCTAATGCGGTTTGCACACTGTCCATCGCAATTAGGCGCCGACGGTTTTTACCGCCGGGAACCAACACAACGTCGCCTGCATCCTGGAGAAACTCAGCAAATCAAACGAGACAGCGCAACAGGGTCATTTGTTTAGCCACGATGCTCAGCGGCAGGGCGGAGATATCTGCTTGATCTGACGAGAGACAGCTCTCGATGAGATTTTCCCCCTCCGAGATATTCCACGTCCTCGCCCGTTTCGTTCGCGTCGCCTGACATTTGACAACTTCCTGGTCATTATCCCCACGCAAAAATGGCAGCCCATACGCCAAGGAAATCGCCCATCAAGTTTCATGACCTTGACCAGAAGGATGTTTACGAAAAGGCTATGGGTGAGACGGATAGTGAGAAGGCCCGTAACTTTGTTGTTGAGTTCAGCCATCAGCAAGCCACCATAGCCTTCGACCTGAGCGCAGATGATTTTGGCATTCTTCTGGGTCACGAACCACCCGACGGCGTCATACGGTGGATCAACGTTTGGTCACCAAGTACACAGCGTCCAGCTGTTGAGTGCATTGGCACTCATTATAGCTTTTCACCGCGACTTCAGGCTCTCATGACGTCTGCTACGAAGGCATCTGTGGCAGAAACCACGACTTCGGTCCAGCGTGTTAACCACGCGGATGTTGAAGCTGGATCCTTATCAACGGAGGCTAAGAGTGCTTCGCCAAATGACGCCCGGACACAGATGTCGGAAGACATTGAAATCTATCACTTAGTCAAGGAAACAATGAACTATACCTCCATAGATCATGGAAAGCAATGTATGTCGTGAAACATGTGTCTCCGACGTTTCAAAGGGGCCATTAACCAGTCTTTAGTCCTTTGCATTGGTGCAAACTGGCTACACCGTCGACCAATCAACCCTAGGCATGCGGAAGACAAGGCAGGGTTGCTTCCGCCAAAACATTGGTCATGGCTCACGCTTTGTTCGAACTGTAAGTCCTGCATCCGAAGTGGCCGGAAAGTTGACGTCTCGCGGGCATCTTCTGACCCTCCTCAGCCGTTGTCTTGTCATTGCATGAGACACCGCCATATGTCTACCCAGGAGATGCGAAACTGGCAGGTGAAGAGTTAAGAGGCATGCGGTCCAACACCATGGCGGTGCTTCGCCAACTGTCCAAACACGGTGTCGACGACTACAGCAACAACGTCATCACACTTAAATCAGTCAGGCAAGCGTTGCCTACTGCAGGGCCCGGGTGCAATGCCGCACGAGAAGGCTCAAGTAACCTGTATTGTACACCCTTCCAACGATTGAACATCTTCATTCCTTTGGACTGTGCTGAATGCTTGAAATATAGGTTCTTCTACCTGTTCGAGGACTATTCAGGGGCGGTACCGGTGCTGGCAGCTTCACGCGATCGAATCCATAGTCTGGCAAGTACCAACCAAGATGCGCAAATTTGCACGCCTTTCTGACCATGTGGATCATAGAGAGAGAAAATTCTTGCAAGCAATGTAAGTGATTTAGAAATGCTCCGCCATCCCTCGGAGAGTTTCTGCAAGCTGACGTTAGGCAGAGTAGGAGAAGCAAGTTGAAGAGCGGTGATGTTATTCGACCCTTGCACACCCTCAGGAGGGAACTTCGCCAGCTTCATCACCTGTTTGAGAGCTACAAGAGCCTCATAAGGCGCATCTGTAGACCTAGATGCGGCGACGGCCACAAGCAATGTCCCTGTGCTGCCTTTGAGTCACTAGGCGGCTTATCGGATGAAGTCAAGATATCTTCGTCAGCAAGGGGTCGCTTTGAACGACTCGAGGATCGGTTGCAGTTGTTGATGCTGAACACAATGCACGAGTACTTGGATGAGCTGGACGCTTTGTCAAATACGGTAGGCTCTCAATATGCCATACAATACAATGCCGCTTTCGAAAGCTTACGGAGATACTCCATCTTTTAGTACTTCAACCTGACGGCTCAAAAGGACTCCCAGGCCACCGCCCGCCTGAGCAGGAGCGCCACCCTCCTTGCTAAGCTGAGCGTTTTCTTTCTGCCCATAAGTTTCATGACTAGCTACTTCTCCGTTGAGATACCAGGCCTTGTAGAACACTACACACCCAAGATGTACTGGATCTGCTTCGCTATCATTGCTGGCCTTTCTTTCGTCAGCCTATTTTTCTTTAGCCGCATGTTGGAGTTTGTCATCGACATTCTTGAGGCGTGGACGGACTCTGTGATGAGCAGGTTTCTTGGAATACGGGAACCCGTTGAAAGGAACGACGACTAAGGTAGTGACGTGGTGAGGGGTGCGGCGATGGTATTGTCGAAGCAAAATTTTGGTATCGTGGTATCATTGTCGTATCATTTACTCTTGTGTCCGCAGCGAAACTCCAGTACACAACCTTCAGATGAAAAGCAGAGGAGGGATCTCATGTCACCTGCCCTAGGAAACTCAAGAAGTCATGTCAACGACGAGTTCATCTGCAGTGAAGTTCATCGCATGACGCCAAAGACGGCGACTCCGATGCCGGCAACCATTCCAGCCACGGAAGCTGGTGTCGGCCGGGCAGCCGCATTTATCACGACTCCACCCACTGTGGTCGTCTGTGAGCATTGGTCGTATGCTATGCCGTGGCAGGCGCGAGAACTAAGACTGGCGCAAATCGGCGTGGCGGAGGTTCCGACGTCCACCCGGGTGGCGGCGACGGTGGTGCCGCCTCCACCGGGGATGACGACAGTGACGCCGAAGCCTGTATCGCCGTCCAGTTGGGTGACGCAGCTTTCATAGTTTCGGGAGCACTGCTGAACGGCGTCGGAGCACTCGCCCCGGTCAAGGGAAGTGGCGACGAACGGGAACGGGAAGTAAGAATTGGGTACGTATGAAACGGCGGTGGGAACGGCCGGTGCCGTTGTCGGAGCGGCGCCGGTGCAGACAGCTCTGTCGGCATAGCGCACGTTAGTTCTCAACGCTCATATGGCTTGCATAAACACAAGAGTTTGCGCTTGAGGTCATTCATACCCAGAGGGACAGCAGGCTGCATTATTGCTGTCATCATATGCGCAGAGCTGCCCCGTCGCGCAACAGACGCCGTCGAAATCCTCGCCCAAGGAACTGGAGCAGAGACTTGTTCCAGCAGGGCAATCCTGGCGCCTAAACAGCAATGCTTCGCCAGCTCGATAGGCGGCGGTTGGGACTGCAGACTGGGTTCGGGTCGGAGTCGGGTTGGCGGTCGCAAAGGATGGATCTGTTGCAAACAGCAGCATAAGCCGCTTCGTCCAAATGGAGACTTTCATGTCGGAGGTTTGTATGTGTGCTAGTTGCCAGCGACGGCGTTGAGGTTGGATCGCTGTGTGGTTTCCCCCGCTGGTATCCAAGGTTTCTATCCAAGGTAGGTTATTACGGTACGACAGCTTAGTAGGTGCAGAATGCAAGTGAAGCAGCGTGGGGTGAAGTGAATCAGGCCCCAAAGGAGATGGGAGGCGACAAGAGAAGGAGGCGCCGGGTTACTTTCGTTCAAAGCGAGGAAAGCTGCAATGTTTTATTTCTCCAGGTCCTAGCTGCCCCAATACGACGTTAAAGCCTGTCCACATGCATCACCGGCTCGTCGCTAGGCACGGGCATCGCACCATCCGGACCTTCCCTGTTGGTGTGATTTTGACGGTCGGGTCCATATCCGTACTTTGTCAGCTAGCCCTGGCAGAGGTCTCCTCCGTACGGTGGGATCGGCTGCGTCGGGCAGTGTGCATCGTATCAGGGAGACGGCCAACCCCAGCCCTGTGCATGCCTCCTGGGTGGGATGCATGCATGCGCTCAGCAAGCCTGTGAGAGATAGGGCCAAGACGATTGAGGGGGGTTGGGCTTCGCTGGCGGCTGGTCGGCGGGCAATTGGGGAAGATGGACATCCATCCGCATGATGTCATTGGACCATGCCGAGTTGGCCCAGCAACCACCACCTCTCACCGCCGCCACCCTCTCGTCCCAAGACCTTTCACGTCCCTCTCCCTCGGTATCGTATTAACCGTGTGGTCCCCGAACATGCGCTAGAATCTGTCTGAGCCGCTGGAGCGCCTTCATATCGGTTCTCCCCTGTCCCTGCCCATGCTCCCGCGCCTTCTCGACTTCCTTTTGGGCCTCTCGGACGAGGGAACCGAGATCTCCCCAGACCTCGTCTGTGTAGCTCGTAAAGACGTCGCGCCAACTGTCCATCCACAGCTCCTTTGCTTGTTCCGGGTCAACATCGCCGAAATGATGTTGGATTTCAGCAAGGTTGTCTCCCATCAAGAGGTTGGGCTGGAAGTCAAGAAGCATGGTCCAACTCGAGCTCTTTCCTTCGCTGGCGCCGAACAATGCCTTTCTCAGTGACGACTTGGTGCAAGTGGATACAGAGGACTCCTCACAGCTGTCATTGTCATCGAACATATGTAGCTCGCTAGGCGTGTCCAGAAGATCCCTGACCTGTTGGCCATCTCGAGCTTCTTGTTCACTTACGGCTGATTTGACACGCAGTTGAGAGGAGATCAGAGCCTTTGGTTGTCGAGGTCGACTCACGTCATCTGGACCGTCTTGGGCGTCCATAAAGTCGACGAATTCATGTTCGACCACACTAGATGAGTGGCGCGACTGAAGAGATGTTGGCCTGGAACCAGACCCAACGGTATTCTCATCATGATAAGTTGCCGTGTGTTCTTGGTGAGCGAGATTTTGCGCTGCCATGGCCGGCCACTGTGGTTTTTCTGTGCTTTCGCTGGGGAGGGTGGCCCACCGACTTGTCAACATGTTTCGAGACAGACTGGCAGCTGAAGTGGCCAGGCGAGAAGTGAAAGATCCGTTTTCTGATGAGCCGTGACCTTGCTGATTGTCTCGTTGGTCTTGGCCGTCGTCTGGAGGCAGCGATGAAAGGATGGGCTCCTTTCCTTTGCCTTTGGAGTTAGGTGCAGCTGAATGGTCGTCTTGGTTCATCGCAAACGAGCATGGGTTTTTGATTTTCATTCCCTCTTTCTTCTTCTTTTCAATTCCCTGAGGGGTAACACAAAAGCGGCAGGAAGGTTTTATGCTCTCATGAATTCCCAGGCGACGCAGTTGGGCGAACGGCAGCTGGAAAACGTAACCGAGGTTCTCCCTCTGTTTAGCGTCTGGATTTTGCAAAGCAGCACGTGCCTAGCCGACCCAAAACGGAAGGATAGTCTGCTAAGCCCCCAATCTCTTAAATCACCACAGGCGATGCTAGTAGTCTGTATGCTGATGGGACCATAGATCTACACAAAAACTCACTGCTACCTATAAGGAATACATGCTTTGCGTCCATAACAATATTGGGCATTTAGCTGGTAAGCTTTGGTTAGGATACATAAGCTCGATATCTCCAATTCCAAGCACAGTGTAAATCATTACATTCCATAACATGTGGCAGCATGGCTGAGTGGTCTAAAGCGCTAGACTTGAATTACAACAATTCAGATATCTAGTACCTTCGGGTGCGCAGGTTCGAACCCTGCTGCTGTCGTTCGCCAATTGACTTTTTTTTTTTGTTCCTAATAAACACCCGCCCGCAGGGTACCGTAGCAAGCGATGAGCCCAACGGCCCTACGCGTGGTGAGGAGGTAGGAATTCGACACATCCTACTCAATACCTATCTATACTCAGGTACCTCAGGCTCTCACCTACCTTACTTATTATGTACCTAGAGGCTGGGGGGTTTGCAGCGTCAATTATCCACCCATGTGTCCAGCCCAACCTTACCTTCCTTCCTTCCTTACTTACTTACTTACCTAAGGCGTCTTCGCATCACCTCTATCTGTACGTACGTACCTAAGACACCTACCTACCTCCCACGCACACACCACACACGTACCCCAACCTCAACCTGGCGCATTCTTGCCGCACCCTGTCTCTTGACTGCCCGCATCTGCGATACCCCCCCTCCCGTCAATACCGTGCACCGTCCTACGCCTTTTCCAGGTCGCCAGACTTTTGAATCCTAATTTCTGCTCCTGCCTGTCGCTGCATCTGACGAAATCCAGACGTCTGTCGATTTTGCAAATCCAATCTGCACTCTACCAACGACGTCGGCTGGGTACGCCTTCTCACCGTCCAAACCATACCGAACCGAACCAATTCACGCCAAACCAATTCAATTTAGGCCACAGCAACCAACCATCTACATCCTTTTTACCTGAGCTTGGTCTCCTCCCTTCCTCTTCGTCTTGCTCGACCGCCCAACCCCGATCGTCGACTTCGTATTCTTTTCTAGGCTTTTAGCAACGCAGTTCGCCCGCCCGCCACAGTTGCCCCTCGCTCTTGTCAGCGTCTTGCGTGTTTTTGCACCAGTTGCGCGACCCCGACTCGACCACAGCCATCAATCATTGCTCTACCTTCTCGCCTCCTGGGCCTGCTTGTGTCGATCTTGTGGCCTGTACCAGCCCTATCAGTCTGCTCCCAACGCTGAACGACAGCATCCCGTCTGCCACACGCCTAGAGCTCGCTCTGCTCTCGACGTGCCCCGCCGCCTCGCTTGATTCCGAAAAGCCCCATATACCATACCAAAGCCTCTCCGGAGCTGGAAAGCAAAGATGGTGGACAGTGACACGAACTCTCCCACGTGGAAGTTCACCCAGTATGTATTCTTCTTCCCCATTCATCCGAGATGCATCTTTGCCCACTTCCATTCCCTCTTCGTCACTTGCCGCGCTCTCGCTTTGGGTGATTGCTCACATGGTACAATAGGTGCTTTGGAGACAAGGGCGATGTGGAGGACATCACCGAAGGTGAGCCGTAGTAAAGGGCCCTCCAGCGGCCAATCCAGGTTCCGTTTGTCTGACGACGTACTCTTCTAGCTGATATTATCTCGACGGTCGAGTTCGATCACACGGGCAATTACCTCGCGACAGGAGACAAGGGTGGAAGAGTTGTTCTGTTTGAGCGAAACGAGACGGTGTGTCGGAGCCAACTGCTGTTGAACCTGAGCCAGGCTAATAACCTCGAATAGAAAAAGACTTGCGAATACAAGTTCCACACGGAATTCCAGTCTCACGAACCCGAATTCGACTACCTCAAATCCCTTGAAATCGAGGAGAAGATCAACAAGATCAAGTGGTGCCGCCGCCAGAATGCTTCCCACTACCTGCTCTCAACGAACGACAAGACCATCAAGCTGTGGAAGGTCTTCGAGAAGTCGCTCAAGGTTGTCGCGGAGAACAACCTATCCGATGACTTAACGCCCGCGAATATCGCCGGTGGCGGCGGTGCACCAAGACAAACCCCAGCCCATCGCTTCAAGAATGCGGAAGATCTCATCATGCCTCGTCTTACCCACCACGACACTGTTGTTGCTGCAGTGCCTCGCCGAACCTATGCAAATGCTCATGCCTATCACATCAACAGCATATCCGTCAATAGCGATGGCGAGACCTTCATCAGCAGCGATGACCTCCGCATCAACTTGTGGAACCTCAACATTCAGGATCAAAGCTTCAACATTGTCGACATCAAGCCAGCCAACATGGAGGAGTTGACTGAGGTTATCACTGCTGCTGAGTTCCACCCGTTGAGCTGCAATTGGTTTATGTACGCGAGCTCGAAGGGGACCATCAAGCTTGCCGACATGCGGGAGAGCGCTCTCTGTGACAGACACGCCAAGCGTATGTCCGCCTCCTTCCTGCCGATCATAGTCTTACTGCTGCTAACATGTTTTATGCCCAAATCCAGTATTTGAACAGGAAGAAGACCCGTCCTCTAGGTCTTTTTTCTCCGAAATCATATCCTCTATTTCCGACGTGCGCTTCTCCTACGATGGCCGCTACATTCTGTCGCGCGACTACCTCACGGTCAAGATCTGGGATATCAATATGGAGCGCCAGCCAGTGAAGACTATTCCAATTCACGAGCACTTGCGCCCACGCCTCTGCGACACGTACGAGAACGACAGCATCTTTGACAAGTTTGAGGTTGTCTTCTCAGGCGATGCCAAGAACGTCATGACTGGCAGCTACAACAACAACTTCATGATCTACCCATCCGACCCCGAGAAGGAGGTTGAAGTTGTTTTACAAGCTGACAAGTCTGCATTCAAAGCGAAGAAGGTCGGCGTGCCGACACCCATCAACTCGTCTACGAGCCCAACCGCCACCAACGGCGGCAAGAAGGGAGGTTCTCGTGCTGGCAGTCCTGCTGCTGGAGCCGGCGGCCAAGGCCAACGAATGCGCAAGGAAACTGATGCCGACCAGATCGATTTCAACAAGAAAATCCTGCACATGAGTTGGCATCCGTTCGAGGATAGCATCGCCATTGCAGCGACGAACAACGTAAGCATCTCCCATGGATGGTGACGTCAATATTGCCTCGGATATCGTCGCAAGCTAACAACCTTCCTCCTCAGTTATTTGTCTTTTCTGCACTATAGAGTCAGTCAATGGATTTCAGGCACTGGAGGTCTATATTTTGCGAGGAAGCTCATGGACGGCACATGGCGCAGCAAGGCGTTTTGCAGACGCGGATAGAGGGCGTCGGTTTCTTCGACAAGGTTGACTTGAGACGATGCTTTGCTATCCGGCATCTGTGTCTCGGCCTTGGTCGGCTCACACCACCGCCATTATTGCCATATAGGGCTGGGAGGTCGAGGAAAGCAGCAGTGCAGAAACTGTTGGACACCGCAGGCCGTCATGCAGGTGCTTCGGGAGAGGAGAGACGGAAAGGCGCCTGGGGAGAGACAGATATGAAAGAAGCACTACTGATAGATGGGCTCGCTGGCCATGCAACGGTTGGCGAACCCTCCCTGATTTCCGCAACAGAATTGAAGGCAACGAGATTCTCACATGGCTACGTTTATTGTCTACCATCTGGGCTCATGAACTGAAGCTCCTGATGAGATGGATAATAGGTATGTAGCGTGATACACTGCCGTGATTAGCTACTTTGTGTGGTATCGCGTGTGAAGGACGAGTTAGCCAGGATAGGCAAGTGGGGTCAACCCGCAATCACTTGCAGCGCGCGCCGCGATCTGTCCCTCAGCGTATGGCAATGGTGCCGTCATGTAGTAGCACTTAGACAAATTGCTGGTCGATACTCCGATATCGTGGATCTTTACGGTTACGTGTCTAGCTAGGTACTAAGGTACGTGGGACATCTTGGCCTGACGCTGGAGATGCGCGATACGTTCGGATAGGTCAGGCCGGGAAAACACTACCTAGAGGAGGGTAAATGTATGCCCCTAGTAAATTGCGCTCCGACTCCTTTTCCTTTTCCTTTTTATTTTTTATCTTTATTTATTTATTTAAGCGAAAAAGGTGGTGAATATCTAAGTAAGTAAGGCAGTGGCTGGCAGGTGTACGTACTTAGAATTAGATAGTGGAGGTAAGTAAGGTAGGCGGGTGGGTAGTGTGCCTTAAGGGACGCTGTGAGGTGCCCAGGACTGCACAGCGAGCTTTGAGTTTCGCACCTGGGCCGATTGTCCAGCTGTCATTGGTCACGTCTTGTCTTGCCTCCTGAATACGCTGCACGTTTTACACTCTGACTGCACTCCAACTCCAATTTGATTCTAACAGGCTCCGATAGCCTCAATGAACTCGCCGGCGACAACTCGAAGACGCGGCCAGCCGCAAGGCACTTCATCGCTCCCGTCGGAGAAGATGGACACCAGCGTCAACGCTCGAGCTCCATACAACAAGTTTGCTAATGGCCTGACCTTGAATGGGCAACAGTCATCAGACGCCGAGAAATCCTTGCAAGGCGCCAGCCGCATCATAGTCGGCCTCTTTTCTCAATGGATTGCCGTCGGTGTCATGCTTGGCCTGATCTTCGGTGGATGCTGCTCTAATGTGCGCTGTCATTGATCAAAATTGATTCGGCCTTTGCTGACTTCGTATCGTCTAGGTCTACGCCCTGGAAGCTATCATCAAGTAAGTGTCAATTAGAAATCCAATTCACAGTCACTCCCTCCTTCGTCGCCTGGTCCTGCATGTCGCTCACATTTTGTTCCTGTTAGGGTCGAGCCTTCGAGTGGAACACTGTTGACGTTTGTACAATTCCTCTTCGTAGCCGTAACCGGCTACGTTTCGCAATTCGATCGATCGAGACCACCCTTCTTCTTACGACAGAACAAGGTGCCCCTGCGACGCTGGCTTATCAACATTGTGCTCTTTTTCAGCATCAATGTGCTAAATAACCACGCTTTCAGCTACGATATCTCTGTCCCAGTCCATATCATCCTGCGGTCCGGGGGCAGCATAACGACAATGATCGCCGGCTCTCTATACGGGAAGAAATACTCGCGTATCCAGATTGTGGCTGTTATTCTGCTCACGCTTGGTGTAATTACTGCTGCGTGGTCGGATTCTCAATCCAAGGTAAGGCGCAAAGACAAAGTAGATGATACAGAGATGCATGCTAACACATTACATGATTGCAGAGTACAACGAAGTCAGCTGGGCAGAGTGAACGACCAGCTTTCGGGACTGGTCTGATTATACTTTTCGTGGCACAGGTCCTATCAGCTATCATGGGACTGTACACCGAGGAGACGTATAAGAAATACGGCCCACAGTGGAAAGAGAATCTGTTCTACTCCCACTTGCTATCTCTGCCGCTCTTCCTACCCTTCATGCCGTCCCTCGCCCGACAGTTTCAGCGTCTAGCTCACAGCCCGCCTCTATCTCTGCCGATGCTAGGACAAACAACTGGATTTACCCTTGGTGAGGGTTTGCAAGGGGGACTGGCCAAGCTTCACATTCCGAGCCAAATTGCGTACCTCGTTACAAACGTCCTGACGCAGTACGCATGTATCCGAGGCGTCAACCTCTTGGCTGCTGTTTCCTCAGCACTGACGGTCACAATCGTGCTGAATATTCGCAAGCTAGTCAGCTTGCTCCTCAGCATTTGGCTTTTTGGAAATCGTTTGGCGGCGGGCACATTAATCGGGGCTGTGATTGTGTTCGGAGCAGGAGGGCTCTACTCCCTTGATTCAAGGGCCAAAACCTCAAGAGTGCAAAAAGGCGCTGGTAACACTTCGACTTCGTGACTTAGACATGGGCAGCGTATAGAATTGTACACAATGAGGACGAGATAGAAAGGCAACCCAAAATCCGCAATGTCGGTACTGCTCCTGTTCCGGCGTAGTCATTCGGATAACGATGGTGAAAACATTCAGTTTCGCTACGCTGTCGAGTTACTTATGGCTCTGCGCGACATTGGTCATGCTTTTAGTGTTTCGACTGCCGTTCGCCTTTCGGCTGCGAACACATATATTAGGGTATCCGTCGTAGTTGCTAGTCACCGTACAGACACAATTTTACCCCGGTCGTCACATTCGGGCCCCGCCACTGTTCAGGACTCACTCTGCAGTTCCCGTCCGGTGCGTCATCCTGTGTCGGAGGTCGGAGCCGACCGCGACCCCGCATTTATTTGATGCAAGTACTCGGTACAATAATGCTCCCAGACCTTATCGATAGGACCATCTCTGCCGCTCAATATCTTGGTTTTTCCCACCTCTACTTCTCTTCTTGGGGGGAAGAGGTCTGCAACAGAACGCGGTGCGGTCTGAACAGCGTCTCGTCATGGCTGGTATGTACTCTTCCCCTTTCCGAACGCGAAAGTCGTGTTCCACGCTGGTAAGTTGTTCCCTCTCCAGCGACCGTGGATAGATCAATCGACACCCCTCCATCCCCCGAGTCATCCACGCCGGCCCTTCTTTACTGACATCACACACGACCAGACACCGAAGATTCCTCCCTAGACCCAACCTCTGCCTCGACTTCACCCAAGCGAGGCAACACATTCTCGCTTCATGACCTGGACACGGATTCCGAGGGTGATCTAGGCGCCCATGATTCCCGAGGTGACACGGGCTCCGAAAGCTCAGAGGGGCAAACCAAAGGCGACGCATCATCAGTGAACACCCGCCCTGCCCACAACGATAAGAGTCATGATGAGTCAGGTCTGCAAGACGGAATGCTTCCTCGTGACCTTCCCACTCGCACCGCTTTCTACGACCCTGTTGCTGAACGCCAGATGAGCCAAGCAGATGCCAAGTTATTCTATCAGAGGAGCCAGGTTGGCCAATTACGGACCGGCAGTGGTGTGTGGTCGCAAGGTCACTCCACGCCCCATGGGAGCCCTGTAATTGTGGGTTCAGACCCTCGTGATGTTTCCGCGGGCGCGAGCGCGGGCACAAGAGGCATCGATCAAGCTATGGACTCTTCGCCATTAGGCCAAGAGAAAGGGCAGTTGAGGGGGAAAACCTCGGCTCGCGAAGACTTGATGCTGCCGGACCCTTCACAGCCGCCTGGGCAATCGGTCGGCGGAGAGGAGGCCCCCCCTCCTCGAAATAACCCCTTCCAGAACGATATGCATGATATCGCGCAAGAAGGAGCTCAAGTGAGTACGAGTCACCTGTTTGACGCAAACCCGACGATGTTCAGCCAGTCTGCAGCTCTTGGTGTTGCTGCATTCTCAGATACAGACCCTCATATCACGGCTGAGCTCAGCTCTATCTCCAAGAACATCCAAAGTATTGTGCACCTTCGAAAGAGGTACATCGGACTGTCCCTCCAAGGCCCCGATGATAATCCCAAAGACGACGCATCCTGGGCGATCTATCCCCCACCTCCACAGCCAGCCTGGGGCGCTGAACATGCACGAGCAGCTGGATCAACAGACGCAATGAACAGCTCTGCTAATAGTCTAACCGGAAGTATGGTCATGTCGTCGACAGCGGCAGGTCCGGAACTGGAGCCAAAACGGACGTTGAAGAAAAGAAAGCCGGGCCAAGATATTGGGGAGGATTTCGATATGAATGATCTTCTGCCACTGCCCGCAGTTGACACAATGACATTCAAGCTTGATGACAGTGGTGTCTACCAGGTCTTCGACAGTGAGGATGCTCAGGCGAGTGGTGCCCCTCTCGTTCGTGTCCCTACTATTCGCGAATTCTACATGGATCTTGATCAGATCTTGAGTATTTCCTCGGATGGTCCTAGTAAGAGTTTCGCATTTCGTCGGCTGCAATATCTGGAAGGCAAATTCAACCTGTACGCGCTTCTCAACGAGTACCAAGAGACCGCGGACAGCAAAAAAGTGCCCCACAGAGACTTTTACAACGTGCGTAAGGTCGACACACACGTTCATCACTCTGCGTGTATGAACCAAAAACACCTTCTGCGTTTCATCAAAAGCAAGATGAAAAAATGCCCGGATGAGGTAGTGCTCTTCCGCGACGGTCGGCATCTTACCTTGGCAGAGGTGTTCCAGAGCATTAATCTTACTGCTTACGATCTGTCCATCGATACCTTGGACATGCACGCACATACGGATTCCTTTCACCGCTTCGACAAATTCAACTTGAAGTACAACCCAATTGGCGAGTCCAGGCTCCGAACAATCTTTTTGAAGACAGACAATTTCATCAACGGACGCTATTTGGCCGAGATCACCAAGGAGGTAATTGCTGACCTGGAGTCAAGCAAATACCAGATGGTCGAATGGCGCATTTCCATCTATGGCAAGTCACTCGACGAGTGGGACAAATTAGCGGCCTGGGTCGTCGACAACAAGCTCTTTTCTCACAATGTTCGATGGCTCATTCAAATTCCTCGTCTGTATGATGTTTATAAGGCAAGCGGACTCATGGACACATTTGAGCAAGTTGTGAAGAACGTATTCGAACCTCTGTTCGAGGTGTCCAAGGATCCATCAAGTCACCCAAAGCTGCACATCTTCCTGCAGAGAGTGATTGGCTTTGATAGCGTCGATGATGAGAGCAAGGTTGAGAGGCGTCTGTTCAAGAAGTTCCCAGTGCCGAAGGTATGGGACTCAAAACAGAACCCGCCGTACAGCTATTGGATCTACTACTTGTTCTCCAATATGGCCTCACTCAATATCCTCCGACAGCGTCGTGGCTTCAACACATTTGCGCTCCGTCCACACTGCGGTGAGGCAGGGGATAGCGAACATCTTGCCGTTGCCTTGCTTTGCTGCCACAGTATTAGCCACGGACTGTTACTGCGCAAAGTCCCTCTTCTGCAGTACATCTTCTACTTGGAGCAAATAGGTATTGCCATGTCGCCTCTAAGCAACAACGCCCTGTTTCTTGCTTACGAGAGAAACCCTTTCTATCAATACTTCCGCAGGGGTCTAAATGTCTCCCTGTCCACAGACGACCCTCTGCAGTTTGCCTTCACCAAAGAGCCGTTGATGGAGGAATACGCAGTGGCCGCCCAAATCTACAAGTTGGGCTCCGTGGACATGTGCGAGCTGGCAAAGAACTCAGTCAAGCAGAGCGGGTTCGAGAACGCAATCAAGGAGCAATGGTTGGGACCTAACTACAGCTTACCCGGCAAGGCAGGCAACACCATGGTGAAGACGAACGTCCCGGACCGCCGAGAGGAGTTCAGATTTCAGACGCTCATGGAAGAGCGTGACATGTAAGTGCGGCCCATACGTTACGAAAAGTGGCATTGAGACTAACAAAGGCCTCAGGCTTCGCAAATATATTGCGTACGGCGCCAGGGCGTCTTCGGATTCAATGACAAGCGCCGACAAGCAAAGTACTGCTCAGGCCATTATAGCTGGTCAGCACGGGGCTCCGCGCGAACACCCCAGCGGAGGACTCGGAAACGCTTCTGTAGTCGCGGGTGGCGAGAAGTCTGAATTAGACGCGTCAAGCACTAGGGCGGTCTTTCGGGATGATGTAGTCGGTTCACCTGCCAGCCTGCCTTCATCCAAAGAAGCACCATGGGCAGTAGATGCCCACAATTTAAGCCAGGATCCCAAAATGTTCCCTGGTGTCGTCAGCCGAGGACAGGGGGGCGGCAGCAGCCAGACCGTCGAAGACAGGCACTCGTCATAGGCGGTCCGTCGCGCGCTGACGGACGAGGCCTTGAGATCGCTCACAATGAGCACAGCAAAATGATGGACATGGAAAAGGAAGCAGGCCGTACTGTGAGTTGACAGGAGGAACACTGGTCTGAAAGTTGAGCATCTGTAAGGCATGAAATAGCACATGGATTACCCTCCAAAGTGACGGTGCCAGCATGATGAGGTTCCGTTTCTGTTACCCCTCGCAGTGTGGCATATTTGGTAATGCGACGCGATGGTTGGTCAGGCCATTTGGCATACCAAGAATGGTATTGATTGAGCATGCAGACCACGGAGAAAACCGACCCCGATCGTGGAAGGAATAGGTAATGAAGACAGAGACGAGCGCGAGTTTCTCTAGGCACAAGTATGGAATAGGTGCACCAGTAGGGTAGAGCAGCGGAAACGGAAACGATAAACCTTGATTCCGGTCTGTTGCTGTCATTTCTTCAAGCACCCTGCCAAGGAGGCCCCGCAGCGCCATAATACCTACATGCGGCCCCCCTGCCCACCACCACTGAAAAAAAGCACCTTACCTACCTCAGGTACGTTCCCATGCAGAACATCTGTACCGCAGTAAAGTACCTACCTGACTTACCCCCGGATATGTACCTACCCACAAGATACCTACGTAAGTACGCACCTGCAAGGTGACAGAAGGTAAAGTATGGGTAACGTGGTAAGGCACCTAGGTAAGGTAGGCAGGTAGCGCGGTCAAACAAGCAAACAAGGGGGAGGTGCCTGAATCCCAGCCCCCAGGTTAGGCCTCTGATGACTTGACTGTCCGCCCATGTGGCTGTGGCAGTGGCGGTGGCCGTCTTAACCAAGTCTCGTGGTCTTCATCTCATCCCGTAGTCATTAACTACAACCAACATCACGGCAGGTTTCGGTTGCCGACCAGCCTGCTGCCTCTGTCACCAACATCACCACTCCTGCCATCTATACCTCTGCAGGTAGGTAAGCTAAATTTCACTTCCCGCATGCTCTGGGGCTACTTTGCTCTCCGGCCTGTCGCTGCCCTGCCTGATCCGATTCCAAAACGTCCAGCCCTGCCCGGCCTTCCTTACATCACCGCCCAACGCAAGCGACATACCACAATCTCCCGTCAATCGTCAACTCCGGCAACCTGCACCTCCGCCTTGGCTCCCAGTCACCGCTGACAATCTCTCGCGAGCAAATAGAACCACGCTATCCAGAGTCGGTGCTCTATACACTCTTTCATGACTTGTAAGCTTTCCTCACCCGCCTAGCCCTGCATCATCGCATCGTTGCTCCGATTCGAGTCCCCGTCTGGATATTCATCTTCCCGTCTCCTGTATCCCTCCCAGATACCCTTAGCTACCTTAAGGGTTTTTACGTTCGCCTGCTTCGCGTGCCTTCTCCACTCCTCGCAGCAAACCTCTCTCCCGGCAATCCAACATAGCTGCGATAGAGGATCTTGCTTCTGCGTCGTTCAGCACCTGAGTTAATTTTAATCGTCTCTCCTGAACCAGCAGCATCCTATCTCGGTTTAGTATTTGCGAACTTACTGACAACTTCTCTGTCGATAGGAGACGTTGCATACGATCCAACCGGGCTCCCTCTGTTTCAATCACCCCATCTCCGGGGTCGCCGGCACCGAGCTGCGAACCCTCCCCAACAGCGCCGGCCCTGCCAACCGATCAACAGCACATTGGCCCCATCCTCATGCTTCCCGCCTTACCCGCCTGTCAACAAACTCCGACCGATTTTAACATCACATACTAGTCGCTTTTCCTCAGCCATCCAGGCCTGCACCATGGGTTTTTCGGGGGTCTGTAAGGCCATATATGATTATGCGCCTCAAGCCGAGGGGGAGCTCGCCATCAGTGATGGAGATGTGCTTTACATACTAGAAAAGAATGCCGAAGACGATTGGTGGAAAGCCAAGAAGAAAGCCAGCGCTGATGATGAGGATGAGCCCGAAGGTTTAATCCCAAACAATTACGTTGAAGAGGTAGTGGCATCCTGTCTTTTCTGTGCTGTGCTGACATTGTTGTTGCAGGCTCAACCTATTGCAAAGGCTCGGGCATTGTATGAATATACACGTCAAACTGACGAAGAACTGTCCTTCCCAGAAGATGCACTTATCGACGTCTACGACGCCTCAGACCCTGACTGGATTTTGGTTGGTCTGGACGGCGACTATGGTTTTGTTCCTTCCAATTACATCGAGATGGGCGAGTCGGAAGAAGCCGCCCCTCGGCCCTCGCCGCCCCCAGCCTTGCCGTCACGTTCCTCCATGCCTCCGGCTCCTGGGCCCGACAGCAACTCAGAGCGTCCAGAGTCGGCGTATTCTGCGTCCAGCGCACAACCGAACAATCCTGCGGCGGCATTGGCTGGAGTTATTGCTGGACGCTCCGCTCCTGCTCCCCGTGCTGAGAGTCCTCCGATCTCGCCACAGTCCCCTTTGTCAGAGCCTTCCGACGAGGAGCATGTGAGAAGTCCGGCTTTGCCAGCACGGCCCATATCTCAAGTCGCGCCTCCGCCAGCGCGCATATTGTCTCAGAGATCGATAGACACGCATCTGTACGACAATTCTCCGGAGGTTGAGGAACCCCCTTACCGTGCACCCGGCGGTTTCCACATGTACAACATCAATGAAATGGTGTCTGTCATGGGCAAGCGCAAGAAGATGCCCACGACGCTCGGTGTCAATCTGGCAACTGGTACCATCCTCATTGCTCCAGAGCGTGCACAGGACGGGCCGTCGCAAGAATGGACGGCCGACAAGATGACGCACTATTCTCGTGAGGGGAAACACGTCTTTCTCGAGCTTGTACGGCCAAGCAAAAGTGTAGACTTTCACGCAGGTGCCAAGGATACGGCCGAGGAGATTGTCAGCGCTCTAGGCGAACTAGCTGGAGCTGTTCGGGCAGAAGGCTTGAGAGAGGTCATCTTAGCTGGAGCTGGGAAAGCCCAGAAGAAAGGGCAAGTTCTGTATGATTTCATGGCCCAGGGTGACGACGAAGTAACGGTCGCAATTGGCGATGATGTTGTTATCATCGATGACACCAAGAGCGAGGAGTGGTGGCAAGTGCGGCGCGTCAAGAACGGGAAAGAGGGCGTCGTTCCAAGCAGCTACATTGAGATCACAGGCTCCATTACCCCGCCACCCAGCAACACTGGAATCAACGCTGCGAAATCGACTGTCGAGCAAAATCGCCTCGAAGAGATACGGTTGACAAAGGAAGCTGTCAAGGCGGCGCAAAGAGACAGCTCACAGCAGGTAGGGCCAGGAATGCCTCTACCTAAGCGAGGCAGCAGTCTTATGGCAAGAGAAAATGGTAATAACTATGGGCAGCGGAGTAAACGCGAAAACGGACGTGGCGAAGGTAGCGGTCAAGGCCGTTCTGGAAAATCAAGTGTGTCAGGGCCCCATCTAAAACTGTCCCCAGTAAGACTAACAACACATCGCAGAGCCGGATCCTTCAAAGGTCAGGACATGGACCGATCGATCGAAGTCTTTCAGTGTCGACGCGCAATTTCTTGGGCTCAAGGATGGCAAGATCAACTTACACAAGATGAACGGCGTCAAGATTGCGGTTCCGGTAGCCAAAATGTCAGTGGGAGATCTTGAATACGTGGAACGCATTACCGGCATCTCGTTAGATGAGGACAAGCCGTTGTCCAACGTCAAGAAAGCCAGAGCGGCCTCTCAAGCGGGGGCAGCACGAGACTCAGCCTCCGGCGGAATTGGTGCATCGGTTGGCCCGCCGCAGAAGCCCGAGTATGACTGGTTCCAGTTCTTCCTTTCGTGCGACGTCGCCGTAGGCCTGTGTGAGCGTTATGCGCAGGCATTCTCCAAAGACTCTATGGATGAGAGCGTTCTTCCCGACGTGGACGCCTCCATTCTCCGCAACTTGGGTCTTCGCGAGGGCGACATCATCAAGGTCATGCGCACGCTGGATCAAAAGTTTGGCCGTGTACGAGGGGGTGATAAATCTAGTGCTGAAGGAGACGGCGGCTCTGGCGGTCTCTTCTCGGGACCCGGTGGCGCTTTGCGTAACAATACAAGGAAGGGCCGGCCAGCACCTGCTGTTCAGACAAGCGACGTCGTGGATCCGAAAGCCTTCGCGCGCAAGGAGGATGGCCCGGCTGAAGATGCTTCATCAAAGTCGCCGTCGTCGGCTCCGGGGCCTTCGCCTGGCCAAAAAAGCGGTTTCGACGACGACGCATGGGACGTGAAGCCTGCGAAGCAACCACAAGAACCTGCCGCGGGATCATCACCGATACCTCCGGTACCCGCGGCTACCCAACCTCCTACTCAGTCTGTGCAGCAGCCTGTGTCGCAGCCTGTGCCGTCTCCTCAAGTGCCGGCCCTCACCGGTTCTATGCAGGAGCTATCTCTCTTAAGCACGCCTTTGGAGCCTCAGCGGACTGCCCAACCTCCGGCGCACAACCCTACCGCAAGTCAGCCGCTGACACCTGCGCAAGCTCCCCAGCCAACGGGGGCGACTCCATCCTTCTTTGCTACAGTCCGGCCGAACGCTACCTCGACGCAGCCGCCGCAGCAGCCAGTGCAGCGACAGAGACCAACTCCACCTGCTGCAACATCGAGCCAGGGTATACTGATGCCTCCGCCTCCTTCTCGGCCGTTGTCAGCTCCTCAGTCGGCTCAGCCGAGCGCTTTTGCACCACCTCCCTTAGCTCCCCAGATGACGGGTTTCCAGACGCCTGTTGCGCCCCCGGGTCAGAGCATGAATGAGATCAGCCAAGCACGTTTGCACCAGCAGTTCGCAATGCAGCAACAGCAACAGCAACAGATGGCCCAGTCGCAGATGAATCCGTATCCTGTCCCCCAGCAGCAACCTATTCCGGGCGTGATGGGCTTCAACGCCGGCATGCAGCAAACAGGTGGGCAGTTTATGCAGTCCATGCAATCGATGATGACCGGGGCCACCAACCAAAGCCCTTTTGCCGACCCTCAGCATCCAAACCAATTCAATCCGATGCAGGCACAGCCCACAGGTTTCCCTGGGCAATTCGGGAATAACCAGACATTCAACCCCCAGGCGACTGGTATCAACTCATTTTTGCCTCCTGCAATGGAGCCCCAGAGAACGGGAGCTCCTGGCTTCCAATCTCAGCAAACAGGTTTCCAGCCCCAGCAGACCGGCTTTGGTGGGTTCAATAGTCTGGGTGGTGCAAGCTCGCTGGCTGCTCCTATTCAGCCGTTGCAGCCACAAAAGACAGGGCCGCCACCTCCGGTTCGATTTGGCGTTACGGGAGATGCCAAGAAGATAATGGCCCAGCCAACCGGACGGCGGGCCAACCTTTCGCAAGCAAGTAAGTTGACGTACTTTGCTGAAGCCCATGTTTGCATTCTGACTGACTGCATAGCTCCGACCAACCCTTTTGGTTTCTAAATGTACATGCATTCACATACCTGATAGCCAGTCTGGTCTGGTCCAGAGCGAGTGCCAAATTCTGGTTGTGTTTGCCTTTCTGGACACACCATACATAGCATAGGTGCACTGCAAGTATGTCTGCTGTCGTCATTCTAGCGTCTTCGCATAGATGTACTTAATACCATTTTGCGGCTTGTCAGACGTATTGTCAAGTTCCTGTATGTTAGAGCCATTTCATTAAACTGTGATTTGCGCCTGCAAGCTCTGCTTTCTCATGCCCAATCCTAACACACTTGGTGGGAAGGCTCGCATGCATGAGGTCGTTCCCAGCGATAAGTTTCCGAAATCAGTACAAGTAGACCGATTGCACCTTAGCGACTGTTTTCACCTCCTTGGGAACATTGCATGCGTATGCTAAACTCCATGAAATCCGCGGGAGAGCATGGTTAGAGGCTGTGAATTGAATATGAGATCCACAAGCAGGAAGGAGTCGCCAGGTGTCCAGAACTTCAGATAGTCGCAAGTATTGAGAAAACGTACATTTACACTCAACTCCGTGCTCGATCCCATCTAAAGCAAGAACGCGCTTTACTACAGCAAACGACAGTACAGTACGCCGGTCATTAGATTTAATCATGCACACCGTTACACGGACGCACGACTCTCTAAACCGTATGCCTGCATGCCTTCCTTAAGTGTCACAGCCAGGCAAACCAGACTGGCGTTAGCTACCCATTCCACCATATCTATACCTTGCGTCGGCGAATTGCAGGTTGTGTGGGCTGTGAAATCGCCTTCATCGCCGATACTTCCTTGAGCATATCCTTCTCGGTTGTCTTGGCCGGCTGGAATCTCTTGCGCACTGCACGGATCATCATAATGAACCAGTAGAAATTGAGACTGTTCAGAGTAATGTTGCTCATGAGGTATGTGAAAGCCAGCCAAGCAGGTACCGTTGATGTAGGTGTCGCAAACCTCATGACAGTCGAAGTGATGACCTCGCCAGTGTCGGCACTGACAGGTAAGACAGGGTTGGTATCGATGGCCGCGAAGATGTCCGAGAAAACCCTCACCGACTGATAAGTCCCATACACCAGGCGCGTGGAAAAGAAGGTAAAGAGCAGCATCAATCCGTTGTATAACTGGGCACGAGAGCCAGTCATTCCCAGCTTGTCAAAAAACCAGTGGATATTGAGAAAAGGCGTCGATAGCTCCCAGAGAATGAAGACGCAGCCATAATAGTTGATGAAAGGTCGCTGAATGTAATGGTTAGACGAGCGTGGAAACAACTGTAGACGGTGATCGACTTACAAAGCCAAGAGCGTAGACGAAGAGGGCACTAACAGCATGGGCCAGAGTGCCAATGCCAAAAACGTCCATGTTGCAGCTCGTAACGACCAGATCCCACAGGAAGTATCCAGCGGCGAGAGCCTGGATCATGCCAGCTGCACCAGTGTAGCCCCAGATGCGCTCCTGCCAGTCCATCCCCTTGCGGTCTTCGTCGGCAAACATCACCCAAAGCGCTAATCCATTGATGAGGGTACTCTGTACGAACGAGACGACGTGAGCATCCCAGTTCACTCTTCTCTTCCTGGGCAGATCCAGGTATTTGCGGCCGACGATGAGGCGCGAAACCAAGGGTGATATCGGGTAGTAGATGACCGAGTAGAGCAAGCTAGCGGCGAGCACCTCATGGACGTGGAGCGGCAATGATGGGAGGGACAGAAGATCGGCCCATGGCTGTGTTGCCTTGACGAGCCATGGTATGGGCTCGAGGAAAAAGGGGTCTCTCATGCTCCTGCTGGAGGCGTCGTCAACGTTTATAGGGGCGAATGTCGGTTTGTCTATGGCGGGAAGAGTCCGAAAGACGTGCGGCAATGTAGAGAGGGGCGAAGATTTCGTGCTCGGAAGAGATACCAGCAGCTTTTCAAGAAACGTCGAGTGTTCGGGCTGGCCGCCTTCAGTCGGTGGGTCGATCGACGAGTTGGTCAGGTGTGCAAAAAAGACGAGGCTGAAAGACAGAGGTTGATCTGAGGTCCTGTGAGCTACGGTAGTGCGTGGAAGTTGATGCTACTAAAGAAAGATGCGGTATGGCGGGGAGCTGGAGGATTTGGCGGGTTGTTGGGGGAGCTAAGCTGGATGAGGGAGGACCCTTGGAGAGAAGAGAAAAAAAAGTAAAGATGCTAGCACACGGGGTTTCTCTAGAAAAGGCGGATCACCCTTGAGCAGATGGAGCGCTACGTCGGAACGATGCAGGTGCTGGGCCCTTGTTAAAGTATCTGCTTATCTTGTACGCTGGACGGATTACTCTTCAATAGTTAGTGCAAATCCTTGCGGGACGTACTGAGTGACAAAAGTTCTGCTAGTACTTCGCAACCTCTGTGCTTCTCGAACTATGGGAGACGTGCGCCAGGAGGCGCATTTTTCAGGCGCCTCAAACTTGATATGCTAAGGTACAGCCGCCCCCCCCCAGGTACTTAGTGACATGTTGCAGGTTCATGTACTACTCGGCCCGTGATATCTGATCATCCATCAGCAGCGACATCAGCTGGCCTGGCGCGAAGAAAGCGTCTCTAGAGCCTGAGCTAGGTACTTCATGAGTGCGGTGATCAGAAGAACGACCACGTGAGTTGTTATCAACCCCGTGGTGCTATCACACAGCTATCCTAGCACATAGTGCAGGTCGGCGGGTAACACTCTCGTTCTCCATCCCACCACGCTGGTATGCGTGCAGCCGACAGATGCATTTGGTGTTGCACCAAAGTGGGTACTTACAAACGCTGCATGTGTGTCAAACTCGTTATTTTGATATTCTGAGTATCTACGTATCCGTAGGCACTAATTGCATATGACGGGTCCTGAGTAGGCTTCTGATGATTAGTTGTATGCTTTGCCCACCTGAGGTATCACCCACCAAGCACCTACCTACAGGTATCCCCACGCCTAGCTACTACACTGCTGCCGTCGACATCACGTTATTCACCCCCCTTACCCTCACCACATCCTGTGCAATCTTACGGGCTTGCATTATCTCGATGGAAACAGCCACATCTTATCATCGTTGACGGTTGGACCATGGCCGATCTTCTCCTCGATCTGCTCGATCTGCGGCAGACCCAAGGGACTGATCCAAACCCAACCCCAAGGACGGCTAAACTTGAATATTTGACACATCTCGCTGAACAGAGTTCGGCAGCGTTGGTTTCCACAGAGCCTCAATCACTCGCTCAGTCATCTCAGTCGCTTCTTCTTTCTCTCCAAGGAGTCTCCAAACGCTCTCACAGATCTGTCATCGATTCGGCCTCGCACCACGCCGGTCTAGCCCGCGCTCTGCCTACTCTTGTCGCTGACACGGCTGACCTACGCAATGCAATCCCTAAGCTCGACTCAGAGGCTTTGCGCTTCTCAGCCACATACAGCAAGTCCAGTGATAATGAAGATTTGGTCGAGAGAAAGCGCGCCCTGCTGTTGCTCCGCAATGAGGAGCGACTGGTCGATGTTCTGGAACTTCCCACCCTGCTGTCTTCGGCCATCAGCACTGTCCCAGCCAATTACGCGTCCGCTCTGGATTTAAACGCTCATATTCGAAGACTTCACGCCTTGTATCCAGACTCCCCCTTGGTGGATCTGGTTTCTGAACAAGCCGATGAAGCCATAGTCAAGATGGCGGCCGACCTGATCACGGCCCTCAAGTCCCCCGGGCTCAAGCTAGCTGCCTCTTTGCGGACAGTCAGCTGGTTGAGAAGAGTTCTCCCAGACATTTCTCCCATGAGTTCCGCCAGCCGTGATTCTCAGGAGAACGCACTTTCATTGCTATTTCTCTGTTGCCGTATGGCTACCTTAGACGCCACCCTTGGTGCTTTGCAACCCCTGCGGGAGCTCGCCGACGAAGAGAGGCATAGACAGCAAGGCTCCAGTTTACAGTCCTGGTCTGGGGGCCAGCAGACGGAGAAGTATCTCAAGCGCTACGTCGAGATTTTTCGCGAGCAAAGCTTTGGCGTCGTTTCCATGTTCAAGAGCATCTTCCCAAACGCCACGAGTCTGCCGGACGGGCCAGGCAACGACTCGGAAGATCCATTTCAACCCCTGCCACCGACGCTGGCAACTTTTCCTTCGCATCTTGTCGAGATGCTTCTGGAGACTTTGGCAGCATATCTTCCAGTCATCAAAGACCAAGCTGCTCGAGACAGCATCCTGACCCAGGTCTTGTATTGCTCAGGCAGCTTAGGCAGGCTTGGGGGTGACTTCGGCATGTTACTTGCTAGGTTTGGGGAAAACAACCAAGGAGTCACCAAACAGTCCGAGTGGATCGACATTGTCAAGCGCCACCGTTTGCTATCAGGCCGTCTCGAGTCTGTCATTGGAGACTACAAGGGGCAAGGGTCAAAGGAGTTGTAAGGAGCCAAGCAGGCGGATTAGCCTTCTTGTTCTCCAGTCTCTCTCCATTCATGTTGGGGATGTGAGAGGCGACGCACTGAGGGTCGGATAGCGCAGGATAAGATGGACGCCATGCCCGACATGCCGGGGAGAGACAACATTTCATCATGGACTTCATGGAGCTCACGCTATATGCCTTGAGGAAAGCATCAGTAAATGTCGTGCATTATCATACTACGTATTCAGGCGGGTTTATAGAGAAGATATTTGAACTACGGTACCCTGCATTCGGAGCATTCGGAGGTGTGAGTTCACCCTGGAGATGGGGCGTTCGGTTCCTAGGGGGTGGGGGGGGGGGGAGAACCGACCTAGATGCATAATATGAGGATATCCGATAAAGGTGTTTACTCCAATATGCCGGGGAAAGTCATCACAAATGGCGCCCCACCTTGAATCGATTGGCACCTGAATGGGCTAGTGAGCATCTACTTTGTCTAGTAGTCGGCTATACAAATAAAAGTCCTTGGTTTCGCACCTGCGATACTATACGAGATATCCTCCTGCCAGTCAAACCCATGGTCCAACACCCTTCTCCCGACAATATGGCTATAAACTGCAGTGGAAATTCCCAATAAACTCCCATCGCTGGTGACAACGCGCATGCAGGCGTAACTAACGACTACAGCGGTAGCTTCTCCGCCAAGCGCGATCTGTTCAGACTCTCATGTCTCAACAAACCATTCCACGCCGGTCAAAATCTTGTGAGTCTTGCTCCCATTTGTCTATCGGGCTTTCGTCCTCAGCGCCAGTGCTGACCCTGCGCGCAGCTCGGCACTTCTTCGCCGGATTAGGCTCAGGAGTCGCCTCGGCCGTCCTTCTTCAACCTCTGGACTTGCTCAAGACACGAGTGCAGCAGTCCGGCCATCGATCCCTAACTTCCTATCTCAAGGAAGTGGCCGCTTCGCCCAACAAATTTCAAACCCTCTGGCGTGGTACTGTTCCCTCAGCACTGAGAACGGGTCTGGGGTCAGCCCTCTATTTCACTTCACTCAACTCGTTCCGCCAATATGTTTCCCAATCGCGTCTCCTCGGCCTCGACCAAGCTACAAGCCGACGTTCTCACTCCTCGTCCTTACCGACTCTTGCGCCATCGGCCAATCTCATTTCTGGCGCCGTCGCTAGAACTTTTGCCGGCTTCGTTTTAATGCCTCTGACCGTCATTAAGGTTCGGTATGAGTCCAATCTGTACTCGTACCGATCCATCCTCGGGGCTTCGACCGATATTTACAGAAATACTGGCTTCCGGGGATTCTTCGCCGGCTTCGGCGCTACTGCTGTGCGCGATGCCCCCTACGCGGGCATGTACGTATTGTTTTACGAGTTATTGAAAAGGCGACTGAGCGATATTTCATCCCAGAGTCGGCCGACACGGAGCTATATAACAACCTCTCACGCGACGTTTGTCAACTTCAGCTCCGCCATCATGGCCGGTGCTGCTTGTTCCGTCATTTCCAATCCCTTCGATGCCGTTAAGACAAGGATACAACTCCAGCCATCCATTTACCGAAACATGTACCAGGCTTGCCGCAAGATGCTTGCGGAAGAGGGCGCTCGTTCCCTTCTAGACGGGGTCACACTCCGAATGAGCAGGAAGGCAATGAGCTCGGCTTTGGCCTGGACAGTTTATGAAGAATTGATTAGAAGAGCTGAGCGCACCTGGACCTCCGACTTGACGACGAGAATAGAGCCCTAGCTTTGCGCGCACAAAATGCGCTTGAAATCTCACCTCAATCAACGAAAACACAAACACCTTGGACGTCATCGTTTGATACTATATACCATGATCAACGCGCCGGTAAATCGATCTCCTCGCCATTGACCTCCAAATATCATGCCGGCTTAGCTCCTGCGAGGTACATGAGCAGCGCTGGGGACTTGCTCCTCTTACGGTCATTCTTCTTTCTGACCCACTCAAATTCCGGCTCATGCCGATGAGACTTCTTGTCTTCAATCTCCAGCACTAGCTTGGATGACCGCTTCTCACGGAGCGCTCTAGTGTGCCTCCAAAGGGTATCTTGCTCCCACTCGGGTACCCAGCGCTTTATGAGTACGTAATCAGGGTCCTGTGAGATGTGAGCGGACGCATTTCGAAAGAATATTGAGACCTTTAAGTCACTCACAGTATCCAACTCCCACTCCACACGATATGTCCTCAGTGTCTCGATGGACAAATGCTTTCGGGCCATGCGTGTATATGTCGGGCGTTGAGCAGCCACAAGGGCATGATCGACTGGGGCGGGCTTAGGCTTTGGCGGTTCTGGGATCTTCTCCTTCTTCAGAATCGCTGCAATCGCCCTTTCGTCCAAGCCCGACTTGATCAAATCTTCTTGGAGACGTCTCTTGTATTCTCTCTCTCGGTCCTCTCTCTCCTTCTTCTCCTTAGCCTGACGGTCGAGCTCCTTCTGGCGCTCTTCCTGGAGTCGTCTCTGAAATTCCTTTTCTCGTTCTTCCTTCTCTTTCCTTTCCTTTGCGATGCGGTCTTGCTCCTTCTTCTTGTACCGCTCCACTGCGTCGGAGGCTTCCTTGTCCCGCTTCTTGGCTTCTTCGGCTAGTCGCATCTCCTCTTCGTACTTTTGCAGTTCAATTTGAGTCTTGAAGCGCTTCTCCTCCGAAGCACGAGCCTCTCTGCCACGAATGTCATCTAGGTCACGCTTGGCACGCTGCAACTCAGCCTCTTCTCGGTACTTTTGCTGGATACGCCGTTCTTCCTTTTCTCGGTCCTGGCTGAGCCTAAGCTCTTGCAGTTCCTGACGAGCGCGTTCAGCCTCGTACTCCTCACGAGTCATGTAGGAGGATGATGGTGACCGAGAGTGGGAGTGAGAGGGAGCTCGAGAGTGGGAGCGGTGACGGTGGTATGTCTGAGGGCGGTGGTCATCGTCTTCGTCCGACGAATGCTCATTGTATATACGGTTGTTTATGATAACCGGTGCCGACACCGGTGCCGGTGCTGCGCTGCTGGTGGGTGAGGAGCGCCGGTCCCGTGAGCGAGATCGAGTGCGCGCAGATATTATGGTGCGCTCTGGTACGAGATAACTAGGTTGCGCAGCGCTCGGGTAGTAGCTGCGAGGTCTTGGCCTTGCCTCGACGTAATGGACGGGTGACGGCGAAGGAGCACGACGACGAGAGACATGAATGTCCAGCTCGTCGTCATCTGAGTAATAGCTGCTCATGACGTCTGGAGATGACCAACGAGGCAAACACACAATTTTGGGGGATAGGGTCGAATGGAGAGGGGACAGGGTCAGCGACGGACCATAAGTGAAGAACGGGGGCGGCGCGTGATGGCGGATAAGGTGGAAGGAAAGGGGAGTAGGATAGAGGGTTTTGGGGGCGGGCAAGTGAGTTGGTGGCTCTTTATGCTTTCCCTGGCTTAGGGCATAGGAGCCGACGAGATGCTTCGCGCAACATGCCGGTCTGCTTACATGAAGAGGTTGGGTTGGCCAGTCTGTCCTAGGGCGGAGAATGAAAGACCTCAGAGGGACAAGAGGGGAGGAAAGGCCTCACAACTGCGTGCCTTGGGTACCAGAGAGGTGGCCGGGGTCGGGGCCGGGGCCGGGGAAGAGGAGGGGTTGCAGTTGGAACAGCTGCAACGGTAAGCAGGCAGACACAGATATGGAGATCGATGTACCATAGTCGTACCGTCCTGCCATTCCATGGGGTTAGGTGACTGGTGAAAGAGCGAACTTTGGCAGACAGGACGAATGACTATCGGCGTGTCCTGGCCAGGGGGCTGACTATACTGGCTGGTGATTCGTCGGTTCGTCCGCAGTTGCACGCTAATTCGCCATGCCCTCCTTCGTCTCCACACAAGCTAACCGCTAGCATTCTAGACTCCTGCTGTAGGGCTGCACAGCTGCTGACGGTGTGGGCCCATCTCCCACGGGTGGCTTGAGCTTCTTGGGGGCCGGAACGCCGTGGTTCCACCGGTCGGCTTCTCGTCGGCGCCTGCTGTGACTGGTCCGACGCCGGCGGTCTAGCACTCAATGCTACTGCTGAGGATGCTGAGGATGGTGGCATGGGGACGGGACGGGAGACAAAGGGAGCGCATGTACTTGCAAAGATACCTGCCTAAGCCCGTTCGACAAAATACGCACCCTTTCTGCGTCACCTCACTATGCAGGGCTAGCCCGGCTCGCGTACCCATCACTGGCATCTGCCTAGGTAGTTGAGCTTGCCTGCTGCCTGGGAGTCTTGTCTGCGTCAATCCTCAGCTCCAAAAGTTCACCCTGCGGCCTCCGCCTCCCCACACTAAGGTAGCCTCACCGTAATTTTGCGACACCCCCAGCTTTCGGGCACTGCTCTTGAGTTGTCCTATATCTGCCCCAAAGGTGTCAGCCATCATGCATAGATAACAGTCATGAAAGGTGGTGGAGGTTACTGGAACTGTTCAACAGGCTGAATCACGTCTGTCATGCAACGCCCACCCTGGTCTTAATACCCCCAGATGGCCAACGCTCGGCTACACATCACCAGCACGCCAACGTCCTCAACACATGCGTCGAATGGAATTCATCTATAGGACTTGAAATGGGCTCTGAATGACACAAGTGCCCGGCTGACAGCAGGATCGGCTCGTCGTGCCACCGAGTTCGACTTGGCCTGGTCCATTTACTGCGATGATGAAGCCGGGACACCTGAGGTCGCTATGATGTCCATCCTGATGCCTAAGTTCCCACCAAATACAATGCAGCTAACGCAGCGTCTTGAAACTTCTGCTCAGTACCCACGTTTCTTCCTACGGTGTGCACGTTGGGATTACTGAGTGCCATCCTTCACCACCAGGTCGAACGAAGTATGCATTCCTTCATTCAGGACTGTGCCTTGAGCATCTGGTCAATGTGCTGCCGGCTGTTCTTAAACGTCGTCTCCAGGTAGTGCAGCTTTTGGCCCAGCTTCTCGACTTCACCCTCCTTCTCCTTGATCTGACCCTCCAGTTTTTCCGTCAGTCGCGGAGTGGGTAGCGAGACAAACCTTTTCCGCCCCCAAGCAAGCACAGTCAGCAGAGTTCATTTCTTGCTCCTCCTCAATTTCCACGTACATCTTGCCAACACCTTCAAAAACGTTTGAGTTGGGAGGTAAAGTCGCCACCTCATCCAAGGTCAGGCGCACCATTCGCATCTCCCGCTGCTTCGCTGTCATTTGCGTGCGCGCCTGGCCAATTTGCTGCTGGGCCGCGATGGCCTGGCTCTCGATCTCACGGATCAACTGCGTGCGACGAGGGGGGGTGAGCCTGCGAGCTTCCCTGTGGTTCCGAGTTTCTTAGGGGCTCTAGGTATGCCTACCTTTTCAAGTGCTTGGTTCGGAATCGACATTTTGGCTGGTGCAATCCTTGGCATGTATGAGAGAGTATGTCAGATGTAGTCTGGTTATCGGGAGAGACAAAGGGTAGCCGGGTTAGTCGCGATAGGGGCCGTTCTGTCCAGTTGATGAAGAGACGAAGACCCTGCGAGTGCTGTTGGATGGTGCCAGGTGCCTGCATGTACAGTGTATCCATTACCTTAGGTAATCAAGCATGCGGCGGAGTCTTGCAGGCACATCTACCTTTCCTGCCGCTTAAGCCGACGAGGTAATCGCCCGCAAAGCATCATCCCACCAGTTGATCGCGATTGGAAAAACTCATCTGCATGCTCTATGGTGTGTGTCTACTAGCCCACAAATGGGGACCTATCGGTCTTTTGTACCACCACGGGTTGTCCTCGTGGCATCGTCGACTCTCGTTTGCGCAGGACGCATGCTTTGACTTATTTTTACTCGACCTTTTTGGCCTTCACCACTACAGGAATCGAGGATATTGACCTTGGCCATACCAGCCTATACTCATCTTCTCGGCCTTCGAGGCATCTTCGTAGCCATATGCCCCACGTGATGTAGTAGTAAGCTGAGGATAGTTAGCTCAGACACTTCAATCACATACTTCTGCCCTAAAATGCCGGGGTGAACGGCGCATACCTCCTGAAAGTAAGGTCAGTTACTGGACAGACATGCAACGGGAGGGGAGATCTACCAAGACCTGTCATTAAATGCCACCAGGCATGACCCTCGAGCAACGCACCCCAAGGAAACCCAAGCTGGCGCCGTAACCTCCTGATATGGCTGCACAGAGAATTGTCTAGGTTCCAGATGAGAAAGCCACTGAGAAACACGCCGAGTCCTATGCATCAAAGTTAAGCATGATTCACCAATTCAAAAGAATCGGCCAACAACAAACCGGTGGCGACCATGATCCACATGGTCCTGAGGACACTGCTGGCCTTGGTGCTGTTCCTTTTAACGAGAACCGGTCTCAATTGCGTTTCCATCACGTACAAGCTCCGAAATACTACCTGTATAGGACTCAGCAATAGTGTCGAGCACGACGCATTGGGTCAAGTATCACCGTAGCTGTCAACGCCGCATAGCAGCTCTGGTGGAAAACAGGGTCTTTTGTGACGTGATAGTATACCTAATAGTAGCGATATTAGCCAGTGCCCGTCACTTCTCGTGGAGGCTGGCTGGGTCATCGCAGTACATGACATACCGTAATAAAACCGGCAAGAAGCGTCAGACCGCAGCCTAAGAACGCGGAAAATCGACCTGATCTTGAATACGAAAAGGTAGCAAAAACCATGAGGCACGTGGTGTAAATCATGGAAAGTTCGTCGATAAGCTGCATGGGATCTGAGACAGTCGTTAGTGCAGGGTTGACGATGTGTGAGCATGGGGTGAGCAGGAACAAGAGGGGGCTGAACAAACACTGAGGAGCAGGACGGGAAACGCCGTACACTTAAGTGAGGTGTGGAAGGCAGTTGATCCAAGACCAACGATGATGTAGCCCATGTAAGCTATAAGAAATATGCGTGGGTGGTCTTGTGATATACAGTTGTGGATTCCCTTCAAGCCCAGCCACATGAAGAGAAGGTTCGTGAACGTCTGTAAGGCAGGATTTTCTGCATTAGAAAAATTCACATGCTCGCAACTGACCCATGAATTAAAATACCAGCTCACATTGCAAACTTCGGCGCAGTAGTACGACACGACATAGTCCTTGGAAGAGGTGAGCCAAATTTGAGAGCGGCGTTGGGGCATGCTTGTCCGGCCTGGAAGTCGCCTCATACCTCTTCGCAAAAATTCAGAGTGGATGTCTTCTCGCCCCAAAAGCCATCCGTAGTGCCGTCATTGTAGGACAGGCGCAACGCCTGGAACAGCGGTGCCGCCGCCATCGACTAGTCTGTATGTCGATAGAATCTGGTCAGGCGAGCGGAGTTGTTCGAGTGTTGGGCACAATTATGTAGACCGGGGAATGGCTCTCCCGAGCTGTCGAATCGTCCACAGACGCAACTTTGTTGTGTTGGCTATGGGGGCTTTCCCGAGGAAGTTTCGACGGCTGGGTCAAAGTGTCCAGTGGTTCGAGTTGCTGAGCTGAACCAAATACACCGAGCGACGGCGAGGAACTGCGACTTCGAGGTCGAGAAGTCGGAGAATGGGAAAGAAGATTATGAGTAGAGAATACAAGAGGAAGAAAAAATCGTGCTACTCCGGGCGAACCGGAAGCGATGTTACGTGAGCGAAAATGAAGTTGGCCGGGGTCAGCGGCAGAGCAGGACCTGAACGGTCCAGGTAAGGAACGTGAGGTGAGACTCGGACGGCTCAGTGAGGGGACACTCGTTCAGATCAGAGAAGTTGGATTGGGATAGATGGTAGAGAGGACCAAGTCATTGGTTATGGACAACTCGGGACATAGTCTGCGGGGGGGTTCCAACAAGTAACGTGTCTATTCAGCCAGACCAAAATACAAGCTCGACGGACCAAGGGACCTTGCCAGGTACTGCACTTTGAGAAATGTAGGAAGACGAGGTCAGGTTGGCACCTGTCCAAGCGTCTGGTCCATGGACGACGACAAGGTAATCCGAGCCAGGTCCGCGTCCGCGTCCGCGCCCGCGCCCGTCGCTGCCAATTGCCAGTTGTGTGGGTTCCGCATGTCGCAAGCACGACTCGGGTTGGCTGCAGCTGTGGCAATGTCAGTACCAACTGATGGGCTTGTGCGACGAGTTCCGAGGCTAGGTAGGCAGGATGACGTCGAGCAACGGCATGTTGGCTTACATAGCCAGACACGTTGAGTCGGCAATCGACAAGATGCGATAATCGGGTATTCATGAGCACCAAGTAGATGTTATCCGATATAGGGGTATGCACCAAGTAAGTAGGAGGTGGTGTCGTAATCTAATGCCAGATATGTCACAGTACGTGAACCAAAGTGCCTGACGTACCCGAGCTAGTAACTTAACTCAGGGTGCGGTGCGCATTCTGCAGGGCACCCCAGCTACAACCACGATTCGTTCCACCTTGCCTTGGGTACAATCATCTGGGCAATGCTCCACGTAAGATCCAACAACACCGGACACCCGCCAACCCGACATTGCTCCGGTTCCCTTGCATACCACGGTCCTTACAATCAAACAGTCCAGCACCCAAACCGTCCGTCGGTGTCGGCTTCGTAACTACAGCTTGGAGTCGCGCCACTGCCTCGTCGGTCGACTTGTCGCGTCCAGATTTGTGTGCCCCGTTCATTTGGCCATCTTTCGGCCCGCACTTCAAACCCGAAATGTCCATGCCGGCCGCATTTCGCAACAGCCAACAGGCCTAGACGGTTAAGTCATATCGTTGTGATATATACTCACATCCGCATCAGGCTCCATCATGACAGCACCCGCTAAATCGTCACGATGGGGTTCGTTCCTCCAGCAGGCCGTTGCTGGCGTTGAGGCCCGCCTCGATAACATCCTGGCGGAGGGCGAGAATGGCTCCCTCCAACAGCCAGGACAATCCCCTCAGCGCCCTGCCACTCCTTCCAGAGGAGAGCCGCAGCAGATTGGTGAGCCACACACTTATTCGTGGGCTGGTGACGCTTCGCCTGAATCTCGCCTCGATTGCCTTTCCCCGCGATACTTTGAAATCGGTTGCTGACTGCTCCTTGACATAGGGCCATCCCGATCCTCAACCAGCAGCCGCACGAATGACCGCCTACAAGAGCGCTTGGCGAAAGCCATGGCATCCAAGAACCCTCAGTCCGCAGATGCTCGCAGCGCCACGTCAGATTCTCACAGTGCTAGATTGAGCGTTGAGAGCGCGCGTTGCGATACTATTACTCCTCAGAGCGAGCCTACCTTCGCTTCGAATATCGCCTCCGCCGCTCTCCCTGCCGCTCTCCATGAGTCCAACCCGACGCATGGAATCAGCCGGGAATCTGGGATAGCAGACCAAGTTCACGACGAACTTGCTACGATTGAAAAGTTGCAGCAGAGCCAAAGCCTGCCGAGTATAATACTTGGCGAATCTGAGAGCACACTTCAGAACAACACTGCTTCTGTGAGCACTTCTGTTGGCACTTCCGCTGGACTGCCTGGAATGCCCCTCTCCAAGCCCAGCGCAAACGGCATTGCACACAATTCCGGCACTAAATGCAGCCATTGTGTCGACCTCGAGACCCAGGTAAAGTCGCTGGAAGCTAGCTGCGAGCAAGCAGCGAAGGAGCAACAGGAAGAAATACATCGCCACGTTGAACAGTTCGAGGCTCTGCAGGCAAAAGTGCAATTCTTGGCGAAAGAGGCGACTGACGTCGCTCGAAAGTCTGCTGCAGAGGCTCCGGCTGGGAGTCAGGAGCAGAAACTGGCTGAGAGAGATGAAAAGATTGCGCTGCTCATGGAAGAAGGGCGAAATTTGGCAGCCACTGAACAGAAGCACCGGACCATCATCAGAAAGCTTAGATCCCAGATTGTCAGTGATGAAAAGGCGACATCAGAGTTGAAAACGCGGTACGAAAAGACGACGGCGGACTTGGAAATGTTGCGCTCAAGAGCCAGCCGGGTAGATGAGCTCGAGCACTTGAATCAGGAGCTGCAAATTCGCATTAATGGCATGCAGGACGACCTCAATGCCTTGCATGCGGGGGCGATCGCCGATAAAAACACAATAGAGAAGTTGCGGGCGGATCTTCAGAAGGCGACGGACCAGGCAAACTCAGCATTCGCGAAAGCTAACGAAGAAGCATTGAATATCGAGAAACGTCGAGCCAAGGACCTTGAAGACACGATAGCTGCTTTGCAGGTAGAGAAGACTTTGGTTGCTGACAGAGCGAAGGCTAGCGCCGCCGAGGCGGAAGAAAAGGCTTCACGTGAGACGGAGCGAGCCCGCATCACGGAAGTGGAGATGAAGGCAGAGCTTCAGGTCCTGGAGGGCAAGCTGGAGGCAATGCGTGCTTTGGCAGAGGAGGCTTCTTCTGGCGCGGTGGGCGATTCTCAGGCGAAGCTACTGCGGCAAGTGGAAACCTTGCAGACTCAACATGCGATTGCTACAGAGAATTGGCAGGGGATCGAAGCCAGCCTGCTCGCTCGACTCGGTAATCTAGAACGGGAGAGAGACGATGCCTTGCGAAGGGAATCCGAAATGAGAAAAAAGGCTAGAGAAACCGTAAGACACTCTCCATTGATAACGTTCAACCCACCTCTTTCTCCAAACTTGCACAGGACATCTTGCCTCGCAATGGACTGCGAATACTGACGTCTCCACAGGCGACTCGATGCAAGCGTCAAGATGAGGAGATACAGGAGCTTACGAACAAATTCCCCAACTACCAGCGGGATGCTGAGGCATATCAATCTCGTATCGATGTTCTACAACAACGAGCAGATGACGCCGAAGCTGCGCTTGCGCGGGCAAAACTTGACTCGGAGAAGCAACACGCGGCGTGGAAGGCAGAGAGGACCGAGTCTGAACGGAGACCATGGCTCGAAGACCACCTCTCGAACTCAATATCGAGGATGCAGAGCAGGCCAGACTCGCCTCTACTATCTGTTCCCACCCGTACTTTGAGCAATGATCTACTCATGCTACAAAGTGCCTCAGGAAAGAGCCGCAAAATTTCAACCCCCACGAGTGGAACAGACGGTGTTCACGAAGGCTCTTCTCCAGGAAGACGATTATCCGCCCATCCTCCCTCAGCGCCATTCTTTGCATCCGGCGCGCCGAGCCTTCCAGGTTCAGCATTCGTCCCATCCTTTGACTTAGCACCAGACTCGCTGCCTACGCCGACATCGCACGCAGGCGAGAAGGACGATCTATTCGACGGTGTGGAGACGACCTCTTCACCAAGGCAGATGATGCAAGATATGGTGTCCGTATCAACTGTTGGGGCGGGTCCCTCGGTCCAGCTCGTCGAGAGGATGAGTGCCGCGATCCGTCGACTTGAGGCTGAAAAGGTAACATCGCGCGAGGAGCTTGCGCGAATATCCGGGCAGAGGGATGAGGCAAGAGCAGAAATAGCCACTTTAATGAAAGAGATGGAATCCGGTAAGGCGGCATCAAAACGGGTGGCTGAGCTGGAAGGCCAGGTCGAGGACATCAATTCCAGGTACCAAATGACGCTAGAAGTACTAGGTGAGAAAAGTGAGCTGGTGGAGGAGCTCCGCGCTGACGTGCAAGACGTCAAGGCCATGTATCGCGATTTGGTAGAGCGCACGGTCAGGTGACGAATTCGGCTATATTCTGGACTAAGCATGTAATAGTCCGCATAGGAATGATGAACATGATTCCGATGCGTGTTTTTTTTTTTGGACTGTATTGATTATGGCTTCACAGATGGTGGTAGTGTGGCCTCCTTGGTTCAGAGGTCTATGCCTTCCCCTTCGGCGGCACGCTCGATGTAACGGCGAACCTGCGACAAGACCGGTTTAGTTTGGGGACACAGTTCGGAGGAATGGGGATAGTCTAGGACCACACAACCTACCTCTTTATCTGGCGCCAAGTCAAGGGCCAGACAGCCATCTTGGTCCTTTTTACCATAGTCTGCGCCAGTCTTCAGTAATGCTACGGCTGCGTCGCCTGGAAATTGAAATGTTAGGTAGTGGATAAAAGAGTGGCACAAGTTACACATACCGTGTCCTTCAGCAACGGCATGGTGTAAAGCGGTATACCCCGAAGTGTCGGTTGCATCGAGAGGGCTTTTATTGTTGATGAGCAGCCTCATCATGGGGATTGAGCCCACGGCCGCGGCCCGGTGAATAGGATATTGGCCACGCTTGTCACGAACTCTAGTGGACGCCGGGGGATCATGATTGAGAAGCATCTTAGCAACATCCAAGTTGTTTTTGGAGGCGACAAAGTGAAGGACGCTCTGCCCATTGTGGTCTGTGAATCGCAAACGGGGCATCAGCCACTACGGCCAAGACGCAGGCAAGACGGGAGATCCAACATGCATACGTACTTTTCAGGTTCGCATCAGCGCCCTTCTGCAACAGCAAGTGAACCAGGTCCTCGCCATCCTTGATGCTGGCAGCAATCATTAACGGCGTCCAGCCGCTGCCATCCTGCATAACGAATGTGAGTCAAGTGATCTAGTTGTCACCCCAACCTAAGGGAGTAGTTGGATGGGAACCAGACCTGTATGTCCGGGTCGAAGCCACGTTGATGCACGAGGAGGATGACGATTTCGGTGCAGTTGGAAGAAACGGCCCAGTGTAGTGGCAGCCTACCGTCATCGTCCTCACGTAGAGCAAGCTTGGGGTCCGTCTGGACGTTATCAGCCTCGCCATTCAGACATCTTCGTGCAAGCGTCAAAGAGTTGAAGTACCCTGAGAAGTGTCTCTGCAATCGAAACTGCCCAGCTCGTCAGGGATGGAGCAAACTACTACGATCAATGAGTCCTACCTCTACACTCACGCGCCGCCGAATGAAGTGGAAATTTATCTGGAGTATCGTCCATGATCCGGGTCCAGTCCTCTAGAAAGGTGATTCGCTAGAATACAACGACACGGCCAACTGAGAGTGGGAAGTGTTCTTGCAGTTAGAGATATAACAGAGATATAATAGAGAAAGGTTACAAAGCTGGACTCTACGTTAGAATCACGGCGGGATGACGCTGAGAACCATACTTAGGATGATAGGTGTCAGCAGTGCCGTACCTAGGCACAGTGCACCTTCCTCCAACACTGCAGCAGGCTTTGGCACCTCCTGACCGCTGGAAGTTGGTTACATAATGTATGAGTAGAGCGGCAGATAGCAGCCGCGTACCCTTTTGGGGTTCTAGAAGGCTTAAACACACACACACACACACACCTTCCTCCAAGGTCCTCCAAGGTCCTCCAAGGTGGATAGGTACCTTAGGTGCCGGTGGTGGACGGGCAGATGGTGGGGCTGAGCACACGCCTGTGCTGGGTATACGGTGTAAAAAGGCGCAATTGGTTTCTGATCGCACCGTATGTATCAGGTACGAAAGCGTCGATATGTGAGGCTCAGCAACCCACATAGTCCGTGCGCTGAGACGCGCTCCGCGAGGCTAGCTGACTACCTTATGTCCTTCATACCGAAATCGAAACTCTGCCTTCCCAACAACCATCGGCCCCCCCCGAGATACGAACTCCAACCACCGAGTCCTCGGAAGCCCCGAGATCCGTCTTCACAATGGATGTTGCTGTCTCCGAGTCCAGCATTCCAACAACCTCAAGTCTTGGAGAGTTGCTCGATGGAAACCACAAAGCGACCAAGTCCTTCTACTCAAATTCGCTTAGCGCTCCAACGAGAAAGCGACAGAGGACTGACTTGGCCGAAACCACAATCGAGGCTTTTGATGACAGGGACCCCACCGAACGTCGCTTCCGGCTGGAATATGCCCCCGTGCAACAGCTTCCAGCATCTCTCGCCGCCAAACAGCCAGCTGCTTCTAAGTCGCGCAGAACCAAACCGAACACCAACGCTGAGCAAACACTCGTACGCCAACGATCCGTCCAAAAACTTCTCGAGGGACCAGCTGAGTCTGCAAAGCTCACAAAAGCCACTCATCCATCCAATGGCTCGTCTCCGCAGCTGTCTTCTGAGCCCATGAGCCTTGCACGGGCCGGATCGTCGGCATCGCAGAATGGCAAGCCCGAATGGCATCCTCCTTGGAAGCTTATGAGGGTCATCTCAGGTCACTTGGGCTGGGTGCGAAGCTTAGCTGTTGAGCCTGGAAATAAGTGGTTTGCGAGCGGCGCGGGCGATAGGACCATCAAGATCTGGGACATTGCTACAGGATCCCTCCGCCTCACCCTGACGGGTCATATATCGACAGTTCGCGGCCTTGCCGTAAGCCCGCGCCATCCTTACCTATTTTCTTGCGGTGAGGACAAGATGGTCAAATGCTGGGATCTTGAAACCAACAAAGTCATACGACACTACCATGGTCATCTGAGTGGCGTATACACTCTTTCGCTTCACCCGACACTGGATGTGCTGGTGACGGGAGGTCGAGATGGCGTCGCGAGGGTATGGGATATGCGAACTCGAAGTAACATACACGTCCTTTCGGGTCACACTGGAACCGTATCGGATGTTAAGTGCCAGGAGGTCGACCCCCAAGTTATGACTGGCTCTCTTGATGCAACCGTGAGACTATGGGACTTGGCTGCAGGCAAGACCATGGGTGTCCTTACACATCACAAAAAAGGCGTCAGGGCCTTGGCTACACATCCTCAAGAGTTTACCTTTGCCTCTGGTAGCACAGGGAGCATCAAGCAATGGAAATGCCCCGAGGGAGCCTTTATGCAGAATTTTGATGGACACAATGCCATCATCAATACTCTCAGCGTAAACCAGGAAAACGTGCTCTTTTCCGGCGGCGACAACGGCTCGATGAGCTTCTGGGACTGGAAGACGGGCCATCGCTTCCAGTCGCTGGATACCACAGCGCAGCCAGGGTCCTTGGATGCCGAGGCGGGGATCATGAGCTCAACCTTTGATCGTTCTGGACTGCGTCTTATTTGTGGTGAGGCAGACAAAACAATCAAAATATGGAAGCAGGATGAAAAGGCGACTCCTGAAACGCATCCTGTACTTTGGCAGCCAACGCTCGCACGACGCAAATACTAGTGCGAAATGGTTCGGAGGGGAGCTTACCTTACAGAGGACATTAGTATAGGATGGTACAACATTGGACAGACTCAGAGACAGTGAAGGGCCGGGGCACACGATGAAGGAAAGATTAATAGATACCCGCTGCTTCTGCTATCTTATCGCCGTGCCATTGCAACGGCGTAGGGGGTGCTTGAACTAGAAAAATAGACCAAGGGCCTTAACCTCACCGTCATCTCGGAACGCCATCTTGAGTTCCTCATCTCCAACTGCAAGGCGCATCTTACTCGGTCTCTCGGCCCTCTGCGACTCTAGGACAATGATGCCTGCGCCAACCAACTCCATTGCCGCATGGCGAAGTCCCATGGCTTCCATTACCCGAGCATTTTCCCTGCTTGGGCCCAGATCGGCTCCTGACGAGCCACTTACCATTGCCGCAACAAGGCCGGGGTCTAGGCCTCCAGTGTCAATTTTCGTTATGCGATACATCTCGTCCATTACGTCGCCGAATGTTGTCTCAACAGTGCCGTTTCTTTGGATTTTGACCAGCAAGGCACTCAGAAGTAATTTGGGTGCGAACGCCAACGAACGCAAGTACTGCTGTATCGGGTTCGTGGTGGCTTCACCAATGGCTTTTCTGATGATGTCCACAGTGACCTTTGCCGTTGTTTGATTGCCAGTTCTACGTGCCTCTCGACTAGTCATGTCGGGTCCGGTACGGGAATCGGACTCGGCGAGTTCGACGGCTCGTCTACAGATGTCCAGGGCTCTCCGGGCATCACCGCTGACAGCGGCCACCTTTCGACTGGCAAAGCCAATAGCATCCGGAGAAACCAGGTCCCCAGGTACTCCCTCCAGCCTGGACTGTATAATTTGAATTAGTTGCTGGTGCGTGTACCCCGGGAACGTGATTCGTGTAAGGCCTGGACATTTATGTGAGCTTTTGGATGGGCGGATGGCATCCTTGACGACCTACCTATGCGACTACTAATCTTGTTGCTGAGGGTTCTCTCAGGAAGGTCCATGGTATTGGCGACAGCTAGAACAATGAGCCTACTGTGCCGGAGTCCTGGCCAGTTGAAAAAGTTGTACATGACGCTTTGATTTCTCGTCACCAGTTGGTCCAGCTCGTCCATTAGGACAACACATGGCGTGCGGCGAGGACTGGGGTTGTTAAACTCTCGTTCTAGGAGGTCGATGGCTTGCGATGGGCTGACACGTTCCCCCTTTAACGCCTCCCAGAGAAGGCTGTATGATTGGTGGGGATCAGTGATTTTCATGCCATTGATTTCAACGAAGATGAAGTCGTCCAACTCATCCGCCCTCACATTGTCTTCGAGACGGGATATAACTTCACGAACGGTCGCTGTCTTACCAGTTCCTGGTGTACCAGCAATGTAGATGCAACTTCCACTCCCATCTGCAATCGCGACTTCCAGATGAGAATACACCGTAGCAAACTCATTCTCTCGGCAAGGCAGATTGGATGGAACGGATGCAACGTGAAGCTGTGATCGTGCTAACTGGAATGGCGATGATTGAAGGCGGTTTGGGGATAGTTTTCGAGTGCCCAACGGTGTGAACTCTAAAGTCTTCTTCACCACGACACTGAACAGCAAGTTAGTTTCATCGGCGATAATGATGCACAAGCAGTTTTACAGACCGTTTCCGTGATGATGGTGTCGTCACATGGCGATCACTTCCGCGGGGCGTAGAAACATCCAGCTTGGTCGTCCGTTTCGGTGTCGCTATGCTGCCAGTGCCTTCGGGAAGAGCATATGATTGTTCTGGTGTCGATTCCCTTGTGCCCAGACGCCTCTTTGTCGACTTGGTGTGGGATTTAGCAAACTGAATGAGGTCATGTACGCCTTGGTCGTTGGCCTGATAGATATCCTCCCATACAAATTCATCTGTATATGCTGCTGTCCTTGTGTTGCATCCGCGCCGGCAGATGAATACCTTGCCGTAGTCAGGCGAGGACCGAGGCACCTTTCCGGATGGGTACTTTTGGGCAAATTTGCGCGGAGAAAGAACAATGGCTTTGCCATTTATAGCAGCTAAGGGATTGACGTCCCATGAAGGGGAGATATACAACTCATTCTAATGAAAGTAAGCCTCGGTATTGACATACACTGAACAGACAACATACAGGCAGAAAGTCTAGCCTCTTCCTCTCTTTGTTGCGTATCTCTTTTTCCGTGGAGAACCACATGAAGTTTGCCGCCTTCTCTCCTTCGTCGTCCTCAACGAACTCGCAAATGATAGCAACCCAGGCTTCTTTCGATCCTTCAGCTTTGAGGAGCACACAATCGCCAACAAAGCACTGAAAGGTACCGAGGCCGGCACCAACTATTCGCGGTCCGCTGACTGTCCTCTTGCGTTTCCGGGGGGTGTCGCTTTCCTTGTGTGTGTCGGGAGATTTCGTAGTGGCACGATCGTAGAGCCATTTCCACGGAAGATCTTCGACGCCAAGTTCGTCGTCCGAGTC